CATTTTAAATGTGTTAAATAAATGAACTATGGTATGGTATAGTATATAATGGACTGGGACAGAACAAGTATCATAAACACAGACTAACAAAAATACAAAAAAAATTGATTAAGGAAGCCACAGAAATAAGGAGTTGTGGACACACAACTATGAACAGAGATGATAGGGTCTACATGTCGGATCATGCATGGAACTATCGGAGAGGAGATCACGGGAGGCAGAGGGCAACACTGTCCTCTGCGGTTAAATGGAAAAGCTATGAGCCACATTGCATAGTAACAGTACATTTTGCTATTCAGTTTATTAATGTTGATTTTTAAAGTGATTTATTATAATTCTGTGACTTATTCAGGTGCTCTTTCAGAAAGAGGAGAATAGAAAAATTGCAAATGGTCAATGGCCGGTATTTAAATAGCACCTTTAAATAGCACCAGTCATTTACCAATTCACACACACACACATTCACCCGTTGGTGATGAGCTGTAGTGCATTGTATGTACAAATTATAGTATAGTATAGTATAGTATAGTATAGTATTAGTATAGTATAGTATTAGTATAGTATAGTATAGTATAGTATAGTATAGTATAGTATTAGTATAGTATGGTACAGTACAGTATAGTATAGTATTTAAAGAAAATACACTTGTATTTAGTTGTTTTTGACACTGTAAAGAAGAAGCAAGGCCTAGTTGGAAGGGTGTTAGTTTTATAAACCACTGTCTGGCGCTGGATAGGCCAGTCTGAGCTGTAACCAGTTGCATTGTGTTTTTTCTCAGTCCAAATATTCTTCACTCCACTACTCGACTTACCTGTGGACAAAAACAAGAATTGCACCACAAATCAGCTAGAACCACATTTCTGCCAGTATTTCTTATCAGCACCAGGTTTCTATGGTCTTAGTGTTGCTTACTAAAGCTGTGATGTCAATTAGCCAGTCACTTTCATTTTAACCAGCAACAAAACCATAGCTCATTAATCAGCCCATTTCCAGACGCTTGTTAATGCATTCAAGAATTTGGATTAGCAGGATGCTTTTAAAGTGTTCTGAAACAAAAACAGCCTGCAGTGACTGAGTTTATGCTAATGAGGGAGTTTCATGGCATGAGCGTGGTTTATCATAGCGTTGTCTCCACAATGGTGCATGACCAACAAGTCTTAGATAATGTTCATTTCGTGGAATTTATTCCTGGAGTTTAAAGGGGACATAAAGTGAAATTTTGATTTAAATTATTTTCCAACTGAGATGTCTTTCTCAGATTTTTTTTGTTTTTATTCATTGTCTATATGAATGTAAATGCAAGTATCTTAACTCCAAACAATAAAAAATAAGGACGACAAACATCTGCAGACTTCAGATAATAGTCTGAGATGTTAGATTTTAGAAGAAAATACATCAAGTATTAGGAAAAAAACACTGGGAAAAGCATTGAATACCAGTTAACAAGCTGTCAGATGAAAATTGTCAGAGAAATATGTAAGATAAAAGGCATCAGAGATCTGAAGAAACTTGTTTGGACAACTGAACAGATTGTTGAATTTAGGGAGTGTGTCAAACGTTTTTAACAGAGGATCATCTGAATGGCACTACAGAGCCAATACTAGGGTCAACAGAGTTCTTTCTCCAGGATAAGTTTTCTTTGTTTAGATTAAGCACAGTTGAGGTTGTGTGATCTCTAGATGTGGAACAACCTCTGGAGTGGAGTGAAGAAGTAGAAGTAGAAGAAGTAATACATCTTTATATAGCACCTCTCAGCATAAAAATCCGAGGCATTTTACTAGAATAAAAATTTAAAATAAATAACTAAAAGAAAATCAAATATGTATAAAATCTGGAGGCAAACTTCAAAGTGAGGATAATCCTGGGATCACTGTAGTGATTATTTGTTCAAAAGCACTGACTCTGCTCCTCCAGGCTTCCTACATACTAATTAAACACATTGGTGCAGCAGTAGCTCAAAAGGTAAAGATAGATAGATAGATATCCTTTATTGTCATCAAATGATTGTCCATTCAACGAAATTTCTTAGAGCTTCACATTAGGCATCCGCTAAAAATACTAAGAAAAATAGCTAAAACAAGTACAACATGCACCATGCAATAAAAACAAAAACATTACAAAATACAATAAATAATATCAATAGAGTTGATTTTTCTGTCCATTCAGGGTTCTAACTGCCCAGTAGAGTGGGTTGTCCAGTAATTGGATGGTTGCAGGTTCGAATCTGGCTCTGCCCAGAGAATGCTGCTGTTGTGTCCTTGGGCAAGACTCTTTATTTGCCTTGCCTGCTGGTGGGGGTCAGAGGGACTGGTTACACCAGTTTTCAGCAGGCCTCGCCTCTTTCAGTGCGCCCCAGGGCAGCTGTAGCTACATCGTAGTTCATCTCCACCAGCGTGTGAATGTGTGTGTGAATGACTGATTGTGTTGTGAAGTGCCTTGGGGGGCTGTAGAACTCTAAGAAGGCGCTATACAAACACAGGCTATTTACCATTTATTGGGAAATGGTAACATACAGTAGGATAATGAAACCGAAATAAAGCTCCAACTGTAAAGAGATGTTGGGAGCAGAGCAGAGTCTTGTTTTTTGTTGCTTGGGAACAAGACATTAACGGCCAGAGAAAGTGGACCAGCTGGTGTGTTGACTCTGAAAGCAGCATTAACAGATTATGAAGAGATTTTAATATAAGCACCCACCACTCCACCACCACGTGCTTCCTTATTGAGGAGGAGGGGGACGAAGATGTAAAAAGCCTGTAACAGGATTATATTTTTACTGTACTCAGTTCATATTGTTGAGATCTCAGATGGCTCAAAATAAATATTCAAAACAAAAATCTAGTTAACAAGCCAGGCATGGTTTATATAGAAGTGAAGTTTATTTAAAGTTTATTTTTGTTCTTGATCAGCCTGTGTTTGTAGAAACGGAGCTATGACCCCTGGGTGTTCTCACAAATGACCCTTTTAACCTTTTAACCCTCTGGAGATAGGCGTTGCAGATTTGCAATGGTAAAACCTACCTACCTGGTTACTCCACACACATATCTCATGAGTATTTTTCAACTCAGAAGTACCCCTGAAGGACTTTTATCAAAACTTGTTTAGAGCCTGAGAGGGTTAAGTGAATATAATTGTGACGGTGAGCGTCCTGTCACCGTATCTTGATTGATCATGTGCCCTGGCTACTTGGCCATGGTGATGTCTTTTTGGCTGACTGGTTAGCATACATGACTCTTATCCAGTAGTCTGTGGATCCAATCCCGCCCGGGCACTCGTTTCTCCACCTTGCCACATTTGGTGTTGTCGGCAGGATGGAGAAACAAGGAGAGAAATGATGGTGATGAAGAAAACATGGCAAGTGTAGCATCCAGGAAGGGTCAGTTTTCAACTACAGTTTGGCCTTTTCAGTGACCGGTCATCTACAGACATGGATCTGCCTCTCTGCGTCTCTTAATCTTCCAAGCTGCAGGAAAGATTTACCACTGTGTGTTTACACTCTGATTGTCAACATCATGTTCCTTCCTCAAGGTTCCTCTCGGCCAAGCTATCTATCCGCTTGCTTCACAGGACAAAAGAACTTTTACAACTCACAAGTTAAATAATCATTAAATAATATTATGATTGAATGAACAAATGTTATATGAATAATAATATTAATTTTTGAATAATCGGTGCCTAATTCAAGGAAGTTGATATGAATTTTATTATTACAATGAAACATTTTGATGTTATGATCAGTAATGTTTGGTTTAACAAGTGAATCATTATCTACACTCAGACACAATGTTCATTAGAGATAAATTAAAGTTAAAGTAATTTCATGCACATAGATATGTTCTTACCCATAAATCAGAGCATCCTGTGTCTGAGAGGGCGTGACGTTCTGAGGGTTGCTTAACATGGCACGTCCCGATTGGCCAATTAAATCTTAATATGAGAATATCAATACAGGATCACTTGCGGAGTGATTCAGCATTCAGTTTTGAGCAGAACTCCGGACTGGCCACCGGAGGAAACTCTCTCTAATCACCACATCTCTTGACAAGCTTTCGACAAACTAAAAGCTGCCTGCAGCTGACACAGCAAAACGGTTCCTTCAGCTATTCAAAAACAGCCGCTTTGGACTGACCTGGTCGTAGTGCAATCTTTTCTACAATCCTCGGTACCTTGGGGTCACCCGACCCCCCCGACATCTCGGATCTGAAAGAGAGTCTCCTCAGGGGTACGTAGAACACAGTAAGATTGGGTCTGATGCCGTTTTGATAAGAACCAACTTTCTAGTTTAATGCAGACCAAATTCTTTTCACACCCAGAACTCAGTTTCTTCTAGAATCTAGATACAAGGTTCTGATAAACAAACACCATTCAATTATCAAACAGCACCACCCATCCACTTCTATTCATCCATCACAATCATCTTATTTAACTTGTCTTGTTTTTAATTTGTTTAGAAAATAAATTTCTTACCTTTTTAAAACCTGACTCTGTCTGATTTAATACGAAGTGTGTTTGATCACTGAAAAAACAAAGAACCCTAGAATCTTCTGACTAAACATTCAAAGACTAATAAAGTTGATATCCTATATTTATATAAAATATCACAGCTTATTGGTCATAAGTAAAGGTAATATATTAAGCTTAAAAGCAATAATATTAACCTCCAATTTCTTACACAAGGAGCCGTGTCCAAGTAGCCATGGCACATGATCAATCGGGATACAGCGTCAGGATGCTCACCCTGTCACATGATAAATACTTTTTTACAATTGTTTTACTGACTCAATGTGAAAGCTGGAAGATCACAGCGGCTTAAAGATGGCCAACACTTGAATGCATCTTCTACAGCTAACTGTCAGAAGTGTGTTTTTGGTCTTTATCCATTAATGATTGTTGGACTAAGATGTTTTTAGCTCACAAGATCTGATTAGCCACAGCTACATGTTAAACCTAGAGCACATGAATGTAGCAATGTCTCAAGATGGTTCTCTCTTCTCCTCCTTCAGCTGAAGAATAAGTTCATGAAGAAGATTCCCCGTGATGCCGAAGCCTCTAACGTGATGATCGGTGAGGTGGACTTTCTGGACAAACCATTTGTCTCCTTTGTTCGTTTGGCTCAAGCTACAACTCTGGGAGGACTCACAGAGGTCCCTGTTCCAACCAGGTATGATTACCCCCCCCCCCCCCCCCCCCCCTCCATTGGTCACAATGCGTGTCTGGATTTATAAATCTTTAATATTCCTTTGCTCACAGATTTCTCTTCATCCTGCTCGGTCCTCAAGGCAAAGCCAAGTCCTACAATGAAATTGGCAGAGCTATCGCTACTCTCATGGTGGATGATGTAAGATGCAAACTGGCAGTCTCACTTCACTGATATTTCTGATTCCTTCACTCTGTTAGACCACTTCCATTCTTCCAGCTGTTTAGTGATGTTGCCTACAAAGCGAGGGATCGTGAAGACCTGATTGCAGGTGTAGATGAGTTCCTGGATGAGGTGATCGTACTTCCTCCAGGCGAATGGGACCCAAAAATACGCATTGAGCCACCAAAGAAGGTTCCATCAGCAGAAATGAGGCATGTGAACTCATTATCCTGTTTTATTTGTTGCTTGCAGTAGAACTGTAATGTTGTCACCTTTGTAAATGGTTGAGTGAGTTAAAAATAAAATGCAAAACAGAGCCTCCTATAAAACAAGAAGAGTGTCACATGGGAACTAAAACGTTTCCTATATAAGTAACCCAGCAGGTTGCATCGAGTCACTGACTAGTGTCAGTGACTTTACAGCAGCTAAGAGCTAATATGTCTTAAACCCTCTGAAAACGTGCACCATCTCCTCTCCACCCATGAGACACAGCAGACCGTCTTCGTCATGGTTTTTACCGCAGAGAATAAAATCACATTTATTCATTCAACTCCTTGTAAACATTTTCCCTTTCACACCCTTTTATTCCTGCTGCTGACTCAACCCGTCTCTGAACAGAATTCACTTCAGCAGCTTTTGTCATCAGCAGAACTCCGGCGTTAACCTGCAGCTTGTCTTCCAGCTGCGTTTAGAGAATCATTATGTCACACCGTATGATGACCCAACAACCCGGCCTTCTTATACCTGTGGACGTGCTTTTCTTTATAAGATTGTGTCTTTACTGAGTTTGGATATTAGATCATCCTGTTTGAACAAAACAACATAGGTTTTTATTATCCTTCCCATAACACCACTTCATCACATCGTGAACAGAGTTCTTCTGCTAAAGCCAAGTGATCACCACTGGTTACCACATACCTGCAATAACATGGTTCTGTAATGTCTGTATATGTTTAAGACATTAAACTAACGTGGTCACATATGTGTCATGGTCTGTGTCTGCGTCTCACCTCATGTGTCTCCTTTTGTCCTCATTTGTCTCTAGGTGCTCCTGTTGTGTTTTCTAGCGCCTCATGTGTCGTGTCTGCGTCTTCCTCGTGTGTCTCCTGGTGTTCCCCATTTGCCCTCTAGGTTTCCCTCCTCAGACTTCCCTCTCCCAGGTCCTGTGCTCTCTTGGCCCCCTCTTAGCCACACCCCTGTAGTTTCTTTCTGTAGTGTTTTCCTTTAGTGTCAGCTTACCCTTAGAATATTAGTTATGGTTCATGCCTTCTGGTCTTTTGTTTTTCTCTTAGGTCATTTTCCTTTGTTACAGCCTTTCAGTATTTAGGCCCTGTCCACACGTAGCCGGGGATCTGCCAAAACGTAGATATTTTTCTACATTTTGGCCTGTCATCCACACGAAAACGGAGTTTATTCACACGAAAACGGATCTTTTTAAAAACTCCGGCCAAAGTGAAGATCTGCGTTTTCTCTGTTTTGGGTGTCTGCATGTGGACAGACAAAACCGGAGTTTTAAGGTCCGCAACGTCACTTTCCGCGACAAAAAATGCTGACATCACGTGTGCGACCTGTGTTTACACTAGCTGACATCATGGATGCCCTCAGAGCTGCGCTCGCTTTATCAATTGTCCAAGCGCTTTTGCTTGTTTGTTTTTGCAAGCGGAATTACTGCTCCTTGCGAAAGACCACAGACGAAGGACGAGGTTAAGAACGGGGGAAGTACTGCCGCCTACAGGTCTGGTATGTCCTTAACAACGTATTTATCCGGGTACGTGTGGACAGAGTTTTTTTTTTAAAACGAGGTGGTGTGGATGCAAGTTTTTGGAGGGGCGGATATTGGTTTTAAAAAAAACCCGGCTACGTGTGGACTAGGCCTTAGTGTGTGTTTTCCCACCAGTGTTTTCTTCCTCCTCCCTGAGTTAGTAATTGTGTTCACCTGGTCCCTCTCCCCACACACCTGCAATCCATCTCCCTCTCATCTTCCCAGTCTATATAAGCCCTGTCTTGTCTCTGTGTGGTTGTCGGTCCATTGTGTATTTGTCAGCGTTTGTTCGTGCTCTGTTTGAGCTTTTGTCTCCAGGTCTTCGTGCTCTTAGTGAGCTTTTGGTCTCTGGGTTTTTTGGTGCTCTAAGAGAGCTTTGGGTGTCCTGTGCTCCAGGACTTTTGGACTTTGGCTCGCTGCCTTGGATTTATTTTTGTTCTTTTATCCTTCAAACAAAAGGATTTTTACTTTGAACCAACTTCTGCCTTTTGTCGTCTGGGTAATCTGCATATTTGGGTCCTAAGCATCCCCACAACGTGACAATATGGTGCTTTCATTACAGGAAATCAGTGCTTAACCTGAATGAGCTGGGTCAGATGAACGGCTCGGCAGGTGGAGCCGCTGGAGAAGATGAGGAACTTCCTGTTCAGCATGAAGTGGGAGAGGAGCTGAAATTTACTGGGAGGTACCTAAAAGCCAAAGAAATAAACAGCAAACAGGATGGAGGACTGTTTTAGTTTGGCTTGCATGGTGTAAATGGTGTAGCTGAGGCAGGATATTTAATACTATTAATATTAATTCAATTATAATAGAAATTCACATGAGTGTAGACTGTCTTTGGAAAGGACTGTGGATTTGGTAACAGAATAGAAGGTCAAAGTCAAATATGACTTTATGTACAATTCCTCTTAAACTGTGTTCCATATTTTTCTCTAGAGTTTGTGGTGGATTGTGGATGGACATCAAGAGGAAGGCCCCATTCTACTGTAGTGATATCTACGACGGCTTCCATATCCAGTCCATCTCTGCTGTGCTCTTCATCTACTTGGGTTGCATCACCAATGCCATCACCTTCGGAGGTCTGCTAGGCGATGCTACCGACAATTACCAGGTCTTCACAAAACAGCTGCAACATGAAAAACTGATTTTTTTCTACTGAGCCCGTCATCTTCTCACAGGTCTGTGTTTTCTGGCCCGTCTCTCTCTCAGGGAGTGATGGAGAGTTTCCTCGGCACAGCTTTAGCAGGAACCGTCTTCTGCTTGTTTGGTGGACAGCCTCTCATCATTCTCAGTTCAACTGGACCCATCCTCATCTTTGAGAAACTGCTTTATGAGTTCAGCAAGTGAGAGCCAACATACCAAAGCATGTTCAATCAAATGGATTTAAATAGCAAAAATATACATCACAATTAACCTGGGACACAATTAAAAAAGGGTTTTTACAAAACCAATAAATAAATAATTAATAGCATTCTAACTCTTTGCAATATCTCATGGACATCAAGGGAAGTTCCACTGGACTGGCAAATTGGGGTGGTGGTCTCTTTATTTAAAAAGGGGGGGGCCGCAGGATGTGTTCCATCTACAGGTTAATCACACTCCTGAGCTTCCCTGGTGCACGGGAGTTTGCTAAACCAATCTACATGTGTTTTGTGGATTTGGAGAAGGTGTTCAACCCTTGAGGGGCCCTGTGGGGCGTACTCCGGGAATATGGGGTACCCAGCCCTCTGATAGGGGCTGTTAGGTCCCTGTATGACTGATGTCAGAGCTTGGTCCGCATTGCTGGCAGTAAGTCAAGGTCATTCCCAGTGAGAGTTGGACTCCGCCAAGGCTGCCCTTTGCCACTGATTCTGTTCTTAACTTTTATGGACAGGATTTCTAGGCGCAGCCAAGGTGTTGACGGGATCCGTTTTGGTGGCCAAAGGATCTGTCTTTGCTTTATGCAAATGATGTGGTCCTGTTGGCTTCATCAGAACGTGATCTCTGGCTTTCATTGGAGCAGTTCACAGCCAAGTGTGAAGCAGCTGGGATGAGAATCAGCTTCTATAAATCCAAGACAATGGTGTTGAATTGGAAAAGGGTAGAATGCCTTCTCCAGGTCAGGGACGAGGCCCTGCCCCAAGTGGAGGAGTTTAAGTATCTCAGGGTCTTATTCACGAATGAGGGAAGATAGACTTTCGGATAGAGAGTAGCTGGGGAAAGGCGGGTCTGGGCCTCCCGACTTAGGCTGCTGCCCCCACCACCTGACTCCGGATAAGCGGAAGAAAATGGATGGATATTCCAACTAATTCCAGAAATACAGATCCAAAAGCAATTTGTAATCTTTTAATTTCAAAAAAAAAAAGTAAAAGTCTAAATCAAAACTCAAAACACAAGAAGACAGGAGAAAACAGTTCAATAGTTATTGTACACCGCCCTTTAAACCAGTGTTAGTATCGTTGAAGAAATATTTTTGCCATTTTTTTTCTCGAGGAATGGATTTTTGCAGACTAAAACAAATATATACTATTATTAAGATTAAATTATGATGATTATTGGTTTACATTTTTGACGACAACAAAAATGTACAGTAATGAAAATTAAATCAGAAAATTAAAGACATGGAAGAACAGAAGACAGAACAGCAAGTGGAACAGGCAGGACTAGACAAGAAAGGAACTGATCTTTAGAGCCGGCTGCTTTCTGAACAAGCTACCGGTAACACTTGAACAATTTGTGTCTAAAAGGAGAAAATGTCCACAGCTGAGAGTAAAAGCATTAGATGTGACCATCTGAAAAGTATTTGCTTGGCGAGTACACATCCGAGCTTTCCCCTGGTTTTAAAAGTGTAACGGTGCAGTGAGCAGGAACGAGAGAGGTCAAAGTTGATTGTTGCTCCGCTGCAGCCAAATCAAACCAAGTTGGTCATTTCATTGTTTGCTTTTTCCTTTCGTGACATACAGCCGATGTCATCAGCATTGCTGTTCTAACCATGTTTTTGTTGGAAAGACAACATTAATGTTTAGGCAGCCCACCTTGGTAGACTAGTGAAGGGAAAACTAATAAACACACTTGAAAACAATCCTTACCTTTAATTTTCCTCCTCACATTATTAAAGTAATACCTTTAAATGTTTTGATGATATGATGTCATTTCCTGTCATGTTCACAAATAATACCGCACATTATACAGACAAGGTACTTTAATACTGAGAGACGCAATTCCAAACTGTCAATCTGCATTACGGCATTTAAAAACATGTTGTTATTAAAACAATTATAAATATAGTTTTATTCATTGAAAGAGTGAAACATTGATTTTTCCTATTTCTTTACGGTTTCAGGTATGTGTAGTATACATTTCCTTCACAGAAGTTGGAAATTATTGCATCAGAAGAAGTATTGCACATTTTAGTCGACAGTCTAACCTGAAACAGAAGACAGAACAGGACTGTTTGTAAATCTTCGGTCCTTTGACCACTGCCTTGTGGATCTGATTCCACAGGAGCAACAGCATCGACTACATGGAGCTGCGTTTGTGGATTGGTCTTCACTCGTGTCTGCAGTGTTTTGTGTTGGTTCTCTCAGACGCCAGCTACATCATCAAATACATGACCCGCTTCACAGAGGAAGGCTTCTCCAGCCTCATCTCCTTTATATTTATCTCTGATGCCATCAAGAAGATGGTGGGTGACAGGCTAAACATTTTGTAGATATTTACAGCATTAATGAACAAACCTTTCCTTTTTTTCTTTGTACGTTTTGTTTTTTTCAGGTGGGATGCTTTAACTATTACCCAATCAATCGGGGCTTCAAACCTGATTACATAACATCCTACAAGTGTGAATGCATTGCCCCAGACCAGGGTAAGGGTCCAAAATGTTGATGCATGCCTGTTTTTATTGTTTACTATACAGAGAAATTTTGAAATGACTGCTAGGTAGTTTTGTAGAATTCTCACAGAAGGTTTGTTGTCCTTAAATCAAATTTTTGACCTTTACTTTTTAATATATTGTCTGCCTCACGTTTGGATTTTGTCTGAAAAAGTGAGTATGGATCTATAGCTTTTAGTAATCAGGCTGATAAAACAGAGATGAAGCTGGGTTCTTATATGACCCATAGCTGCTAAAGCTAAGCCTCTTGTGTCTGTCCCCTCCAGCATCTCCCCTGGGTTTAAATGTTTCAGCTCCGCTCGCTGATGATAACATGACTCTGCTGGTAAGTGGCAACAGTCAGAGAGGTGTGACATTAAGAGTCACCTGTTCTCTGCCTGAATATTCTCATTTGCGGGTGTCTTGAACTTCAGATTAAAAAAAACATCTGGGAATGAGAGATGACAGAACAGAAATATTTAGAAATCACGACATGATGATGAATTAAAAACATCTGTTTACTGCATTTTTGGCCCTTTATTCACAATACAAAGACTCAATACAGTAAGTGGTTCATAATAGAAAATAAAGAGAATACAATATTTAGTTATTAGTGTTTTAATTGTACTCTTAACTGATTAGCAGAACCTTTTTCCTGATGTCAAAAAGGATAGTGGATTAGCAAGTGATGGAGTGACCAATTAGTCAAATGAATTAGAATGAATCTGACTCTAAATCGAAACCTGAAAATGAGAGTTTGTTACAGGTTGATATCAAACACGTTGAGTTTCTTCTGAAGACCAAAACTTGACGTAGAGTTTCATCTCCTCATGGTGATCCTGGAATGACAACAAAATCCCATTCCAGCAAGTGTTAAAGATAGGCTCATAAACAACATAATTTGGTATTTAACAAAAACTTAACAAAAGATGTGTGTGAAAAGTCCCTCCTTACTGCTTCAGGGTGATTAAACAGGGCCAGTATCAGCCAGGGGCTGTGGAACAGGAATAAAAGAACAAAAATTGAATCAAATGACAGACCGTCAGATGTCCAGGACTAGCCTTCACTCTGGTTCCTCACAGTGCTTTAGCATGCCCAGAGAGGGCTCCGTTGGGTTTTGGGCCACAATTGCTTTTTCTTTTGTTATCGCTTGTTTTCTCTTTCTTTCTCTCTCTCGTGCCTGCTCTGTGTCTGGTCCGTTCCCCGACTTCCCTTGTGTTCTCTGAACATCCCATCCTTCCACTCTCCTCTTGGTGGCCTCTAGTTTAACTTGACAGACCTGGACTGGAGTCAGCTGAGTAAGAAGGAGTGTCTGAAATATGGAGGCTCTCTGGTGGGGAACTCCTGTAAGTATGTTCCAGATCTGGCCCTCATGTCCTTCATCCTCTTCTTTGGCACCTACTCCATGACTCTGTCTCTCAAGAAGTTCAAGTTCAGCCGTTACTTCCCAACAAAGGTAAAATCATGTTATCAGCTACTGTTAATAGTAACATTTTCCCTAAACTATGACCACCCATCATTAGCTGAAGAAACAGTTCCTGCATGTGAAACACTGAATCCTGTTGCCAGCACAGACTTGAAGTATAAAGCTGGAGGGATTATTCTTGAGGCTAAGAGGCAATTATACATGTATTTAACATACATTTGACATTAACATGCTCAAAATGTTAAACATCACCAGCTTTCTACATCACTGAGCTTTCTTTTGTCCTATCCAAACTGAGACCCACAGACCTTCTGTGATGCACCAGAATGCCTCCTCCCAAGTCTTCTCTTCTCTGTTTCCCTGAATGCCCTCCAGCTCCGCTCCCTGATCAGTGATTTTGCCATCATCATCTCTATCCTGGTCTTCTGTGGCTTGGACTGCCTTCTGGAGCTGGACACTCCCAAATTGCACGTGCCCACAGAGATTAAGGTCCACTTTTCCACAAACAAATCTTCTTCCTCAGATGCTTTTCTCCTCTGGCTGCATCACTTTTCCTGATTACGTCACTGTTGCAGACTTTGTTATTCTGTTAATTTAATGAACATTTATCACTTTAATGATTCTTTTCTCTTTTCGTCCGTCCTTGTTTTCCTTGTGTCGACATTTGTGCCCACGTCATCTTCTGTCAACACATCCTTGTTTGTGTGTGTGTGTGTGTGTGTGTGTGTGTGTGTGCTGTTGTTGTTGTTGTTGTGTTGTTATTCCTGTAGATGAGGAAGCTAATCAGTGATTTTGCCATATTCATGTCAATCATGTCCTTTGTGGGTCTGGATACACTGATGGGTTTAGACACACCTAAACTAATCGTTCCAACAGAATTCAAGGTAATTGATTATTAACTAGCTCGTGAATTTCTGTAGCAGTACATTTATGTCACTTGTTGTACTTTAAGTGCACACCTGCAGTGATGGCAACCTTGATGACTGCTGAAATTCTTGTTCAGTGTTGATGTTCTTGTCAGTTAGATGATGATTTATTTCGGCTGTTTTAAAACCTTCTCAAACTTTAGATGAACAAAACAAAATAAAAAACAGATCAAGTATTTTTAGACTTATGGTATATATGCCCTGTGTGACTGATGAGCTTTTGCTAGCATTATGGTTCTGAAAGAGCAGTTTAATGTAGTGAGCCCAGACCTTTACATAGGGGAAACTAAACAACAATTACACAAGCGCATGGCACAAAACAGGAGAGCCTCCTCTTCAGGGCAAGACTTTGCAGACCACCTAGGTTTCACCTTTCCAGTACCTATAACGCAGCTTTGAATCTAAGTCCCAAACAGTTTCAGACTAGGTCACATCTTCCTGCATCTAATCAAAACAACCATTCCCACAAAATGGGAGCTAACGACTTCAATGACTCCTCAGGGTGTAGGGGTATTTGTAGGAAGTATCAACTCGTTAAGCAACAACAGACAGCTACAGCTTATAAGCTTGACTCTCCCACATTCTAGTCAGAACTGACAAAGATCCTCAGATGAGAAGTGAAATGTCTTCAAGAAACCAAAGAAGTCCATTTGGCTTCATTTGAACACTTTGGATTACCATGACCAGGATGGCTGAGAACCTTCACCAGCAACGTTTCCTGTTGGATCCTGTTTTTTTCTCAGTTTGACTAAGTAGCATCCTTGCCCATCTTTACACCTCATGCACAGCGGATGCACAGTTAGGTTTTAGAAGTTTCTCTCCGGGTGTTGGAGCAGAGAAACATTTAAAACATGCTAGGCGGTGATTCCTCAAGGATCAGAACTCAACACCACAGGTTTAACACAATCTTTTGTTGTGTGATTTTTCATTGTGTGTGTGTGTGTGTGTGTGTGTGTGTGTGTGTGCGTATGTGCGTGCGTGCGTGCGTGCGCGCGTGTGTGTGTGTGTTTATGTTACAGCCGACACGTCCAGACCGCGGCTGGTTTGTTCTTCCATTTGGTAAGAACCCCTGGTGGTGGTATCTGGCCAGCTCTGTTCCTGCTCTCCTCGTCACCATCCTCATCTTCATGGACCAGCAGATCAGTGCTGTCATCGTCAACCGCAAGGAAAACAAGCTAAAGGTCAGAGAACACTCAAGAGGCACAAGTGTTTCATTCAGAGCCACTTCAGTCAGACAGATTACAGCTGTGTGGAGGCCATAATAGTATGCTTTTGGTGGTGTGCTTTTTTATCTGTGGACCTTCTTCACTTTTACAACCAAACCTTTGAGAAAGAGTAGCCACAAAAAGCTTTAAATGTCTAAAATGACTGAGGAGGGAGGAATCAATGACATCATAGGAAGTCAGAAACGGCTTGGAAAGGAGGCAGACTAAGAGCAAAGGACTGTGAACACCAAAGTGATTGATGATACAAGAAGCTTTATTTGTCATTGTACCAGAGTCCGGGTACAACGAAATGACAGTTTCAAAGAAATCTGTCCCACATTTGACACACAACAATAAAAACAATACACAACACAACATAATCAGGCTGAACTGTGGTAGACCCTTTTACTGTTTGTAAACAATATGACGTCAGCGAGAATGCGCACGCAGCTTGGCAACAGAGAATGGCGTTGTGTCAGGCTTTATCCAGCTACGCTGTGGGGTTATCACCGGCAAATCTTGAATGTTATATTATTAAACTCACTTTAACGAATGGCAACAGACTCCCGGATCCCTGTGGCATTACGGAATGGGTGGAAGATGTAGGTGCGTGGCCAGATTTCCAGTGGCCCGATATATATACGTTTTTAGTGGAGAGGCCCAGTAAGTACACACGTGAGAAGCTACGGGCATACAAATCGTTAGATGCTTACAACTATGTTGTCTGTGGCCACGTACAGAAAGTAAAATATCACGACATAGACTCTGAGTTTTGCGTCTTGAAGGCCAAGATATAACAACACTGAACATCATGAATAGCAAGAATTTCTAAATATTAAATATATCTGTGATGGGAAGGTGTAAACATTACCTGTCCATCTTTGCATGGGGGTTTGGACTTCGCTTTGTGTACGTAAACACAGAAGGCACAAAATCAGGACTCGAGGAGTCCAATGACACCTCGCCTGTAAATAAATAGACTGCTTAAAAGCAAACCAGCAAACGCAACTTACTTTATTTAATAGAACACACGTTAACCAGCTTTCTGGTGTAATCTTAGTACATAATTACCTTACCTGATATAAAATGGGCGCTACAACCTCGAGCATTTCGGATCGTGTTTTCCGTCCAGTTTTCAGACGCCTCCGATTTTGTTGAAATGGATGTGCTCCCTTTGGAATTCTGTAAAGTTTCAGTCCACTGCTTGAAGAGAAGCGATTCTGGCATCCATACACGCAACAACCCGACATTTTTATGTGCTCAGAACTTCAAAACAAAGGGTTTAAAACGCTGTTTTAGTATCGAGTGTGAATGAGGAAGCCTTCACTCTCGTTGCCAGGCAGCGTGCGCAACTTTTGATTACGTAGGTTATAAAAGGGTCTATGGCACTCTCATCTGCAGGAGTGAAAAGGGTTACATGAGAAAAGTACGGGGGGTGTCTTTGCTATGAAAAAAAAACACCTCAATATATAAGCACAAAAATGTGGGAAAGGGGGCCTTTTCAGTTCTTAAACTGGTCTTCAGTCCCTCAGTAGATCCAGTAGTTGGATAATAAACTAGCCCATACCGTGCAGTGACTTTCCAAGATCACATCCATTTTGCGTGCTAACATTGAAATTGCAGCTAACCGCTAGCTTGCGGTTCCCCTCGAGCAGTCTCCATGCAGCTGAGACTATCCGTGGGTTCGGGTAGCACTCCAATCCCTTCCCAATTTTCCAAAATACCAAAAATCCTCCCACTCCAATCAGAAGAAATCCAGTAAACATAAATCCAAATATCCATGTGTTTCTTCGATAAAGGCATATAATATTCCACACCTTCCAGGAATCCAAAGTATACCCCATCGAGGACGTTCCATCCGGACAAGCTAGAGCCCCCCCCCCCCCCCCCCCCCCCACCACCACACACACACACACACACACACATTCTCATTGTTGAAAAAACTTGTCAGTCGTGTTGAAAGACCAGAATGCAGATAAGCGCTTGGGAAGAGATTACTGAATTAAATCAGCTGATCAGTTACTCAATTAGATCTTGTGTGGGTAAGATGCGTTCTGAGCTGGTCCAAACAGTTCCAGGCATGTTTATCCGAAGAGAGTACTATAGCTATAATCAGTGATGTCACAGAATGTGTATAAGAATTGTTTATAACATTAACATAACAGGCAATACATGTAATAACCACAGATCAATTATTAGAAGCCTCAAGTGTTTGACCGTGCTATGAGGAATATGCGAATGTTTGAGACTTTTATGAAATCAAATTTAGATTAAAATGTTTATTCATTTGTTTTTATGTTTGTGGCACAGAATCAGAATAATGTGTTAAAAATGCTTCCACGATCATCAGAAGTATTCACGCCAGGTGAAAGGTAGCCACACAGTGTGCATGTGATGAAATCTTTTTTATTTAAAAAGTTATCTGCAAAAGAAAAATCTTCACAAGGTGACATTAGTAGCAGCTCTAAAGAACGGGACGTTCTGAGTGGATGCTGCTGCAGGAGAAAATACCTCATGTTATTATTTTTGTATTTAGCACAATAAAAGCTCAGCAGAACATTCAGCTAATAAAAAAGCAATAGGAAAACAGGCGGAACTCCAAAAATTAGACTACGGTGCAAAAGTCCATTTATTTCAGTAATTCTTCTTAGACTGAGAGAACATCTAAAGCAGGGATACTCAATTCCAGCACCTTTTGGTTTTAACTCTGCTTCAACACACCTGATTTTAATCAGCAGGTAATAAACAGGCTTCTGCGGAGCCTAATGAGCTGCTGAACAGGTGACTCAACCGCTAAATCTAGTGAGTTGGATCAGAGAAACCATTAAAATGTGCTGGATATCCACCCTCGAGGCCCAGAATCAAATAGTTCTGTTCTAAAGGCTCAGGAACCCTTTGTAGGTGTTCTGGAGTCATGAGCTGATTAGAGTGTGACACTTTGAGTCTAGAACATTGAACCTTTTTACAATATTCAGATTTTCTACTTAGAATGAGGGTTTTCAGAAGCTGTAAGCCATAATTAGAACATATAAAGGCTTGACATATCTGGCTTTGTATGTATTCAGTCTGTCTCATATATGAGCTTGTAAGTTGAATTACTGACATAAATAAAAATATGACCATATTCTAGTTTTCCATGAATCAAGTTGTGCTCAATGTCTGATTAGGCAAATCGTTCAGGCCCAATTTTTCCTCTTTACTGATTTATTGTTATAATGACCTCATCACACTTTTCAGAATGAATAAACAAGCAGTGAAACCGAAACCCTCCAGTTACCCGTCTCCATGTTTTGTTCACTCCCCGTTTAGAGCTTTTAAGATTACATCTGACCCTCGTAGGTGCTGATGTAATAGCTGTTTTTGCTTTCGAACCGACACAAAGTGTGAGCACAAAAAGATGTCCTCAGACAAGCTAAATGGCAGAAAAGTGGATGTAAACATGTTTCCCAGGCTTTTACTGCCATCACAGCAAAATCAGAAGTGTTAATTTTCTGGTGTTGGTCCAATTTAACACAAAGAATAGTTAAATTAAAACTAAAACGAGTTATATAGTTGATATGTAACACTGACATGAGAGTTAAAACCCAGTGTTAAAAAGGAGTGTTTCCTAATCAACTCTGTAGGTGTCCTTTTGGACAAAATAACTCCTGGAAATCTAACTCTGAACTCCCACAGCAGCTGTAACACCCGCAGAGTCCATTTGTAGACTCCACCCTTTTATTCTAAAAGTTGGACTGGTAGTGGCCGATTGGCTGCATAGAGTTGCAGGAGCTGCAGTGGGCGAGGTGCATTGTGGGTACTGTAGTCATGTTTTTAGTTAGTTTGTTCTATTTTGAGGTGTTTATTCATGTTTATTTGCGGAGTTGTGTTGTTCTTAAATAGTACTTTGTTCACTGTTGCAAATGTGGTTTTGATTTTTATGTCATCATGTTTGTACCGTAACTGAGGAGGCCGGTCAAAAGAATGAGACCACTGTGTGTTCCACTATCACAATATTAATGTGGTGCATGGTTATTTCTACATGCTCAGGATTCTACTTGTGATCCTTTCCCACTGACTGCTAGCAGTCATAAGGTGTACAAGGCATGAGTAAGCCAGTGTTTGGCAGTGTAGCCGGTAGCTTCCTGGTAGTGATGGGAAAACCAGCTTTTTTTAGAGAGCCAGTTCTTTTGGCTCAGCTCACCAAAAAGAGCCAGCTCCCAAGTGGCTCCTCAGATTTTCTGTTGCGTAGAGTACATTTATAACCAAAATAATGCAAAACTATATGTAAAATGATTTACTAATGTAAAAAAAATGCTATATATCAAATATGTATCATTTCTCTGGATTTAATAACTGAACACTTTCAGAAATCTCCACTTTCCGACTGCTGGCGCTCATTTTCTCACCGTCTTCGTCACACTCTCCTCTCTCGCCTTTTTCCTCCTCCTCATTCCCTCTCGTCTCCCTCCGCCTGCATGTGCTCTGCTGTGTGTCTGAGTCTTATCCTCCCTCTTCCCCGCCCCTACTGCTCTATGTGTGGACATGTTGACCAATCGCCTGTAGCTTTCACCAAAGCAAAAGGGGAGGGGGAGGGGAGGGGACGGCTCCCAATGACGAGCCGGCTCCTGTCATTCACTTCAAAGAGCCGGCTCTTAGAGCCGGTTCGTTCGCGACCGACACATCACTACTTCCTGGCATGGCACACAGAAGAGTATTGCACTTCATGATATCATGGTGGAGATTAATAACTCAACTGTAAACTGACTCTGAAAACTAACACTGGTTTTAGTGTATACAACAAATTCAACATGCTCAAAATAACTATCAGAGTTTATTTCAACACTTTTAAAGTGTCTATATGGGTCCACCCCAGTAAGTGTTGATTTAACACTTTTTGAAGAGTTGGTACTTTAACTCAGATTTAGTATTAGAAAATTTAACTCTAGAGGAGTTGGTTTTTACCACTAAATCAGAGTTAAAGTACCAACTCTTCAAAAAGTGTTAAATCAACACTTAATGAGGTGGACCCATATAGACACTTTAAAAGTGTTGAAATCAACTCTGACAGAGTTCTTTTGAGCATGCTGAATTTGCTGTGTACTGTATTGTTGTGAGACGAGTCCCAACGAGGTGCTCTGCAGCTCTCTGCTGGTGCCTCTCTGTCAGTAACACTAGATGTGGCTTCATCCACTATTTCACTATAATTTTACCACTAATCTGCTCATCAAATACACAGGTAGCTTTCAGCACTTGCTAACTGCAGAAGCAATGCTCACCATGGACATTATTGCAGGTGGTGGAGTCCTCAGCTGTTATTTTGTTTCTATTCTTGACATAGTGAGGAAGAACTTTTTCAAAAGGAGAAGAAGACTGACTAATCATGTAAAGATGAGCTCAGGTGGTTCAGTCAAATAAGGAAAGCTACCAGATTTCTAAAATCGAGACAAAATAAAAATGGCACAGAACTGGTTAAGGAGCTCAGAAGTAGAAGAGTTCAGTTCAGTAATTGATTTTGTTAAATACACGTTTACTCTTGTTGCTGAAACGTGTGACTCAAGACATTTTACAGCATCTTAACAAACAAGGACCTCCTCACATACACCAACAGCCACAAATTTATGAGCAACAGTTTAAATGCAGTTTTTAAAGTAGCTACGGACTTATAGACACAAAATGCAGGGATATGTTTCTTTTGTTCTTCACCTAAACCTGCAAAGAGTTCAGATCAGTCTTGTTTTCTATCATCGTGATTGTAGAAAGTGTCTCCTAAATGATTTGATGCCTGTGATGAGGACTGGATATGCATTAGAGGCTATGTTGTTCTAGTGCGACCCCCGGTGGCTGTCAGACATCATGTCAAGGTTTAACAAATTTACAAAAACACAAAAACTAACTCTTCAAAATGCATTTCTAATTAAGCTATGAACACTTCATAAACCATTAAATACCTGTAAACTAATTAGCAAGCATTTGGAAGTAATTACATTTGATTTATATAGCACTCATCACAGACAGAAAATCACAAAGTGCTTCACATAGATCAAAACAAATAATAAAGTCATAAAAAGATAATCTTAAAACAGAAATTAATTAAAATCAGAAAAAACAAAGTCATAAAATTATAAAATACCATAAAACAAAAACAAATTATAAAATACAACAAATTATTAAATAATCATTATACTATATTTATTATAAAATAATGCTAAGCAGATATGGGGGTAGTTTATGACATTTTAGAGATGCAAAAAGCTAAACACCCAGAAAGCCTCCACCAGCCTGTCTTCCACTATGATGACATGATACCTTATATCTATGATGTAGATAGTCACATTGATACAGTTGCTAAATTCTACTTTACTGATTTTTATCACTATCCCTGACAAAACATTTAAATTTGAACTAAATTTAAAATAAAAGTTAATTTATCTTTATGGTGAAAACAACAATGCACCTTTCACCAGTGTGTGATGATGACTGTGGGACTTTAAGTTGTTCAGTTTATAGAAACATCTCTGACTTTAAAAGGTTTACCTGAACATGAAAGTGGTTGCTATCTTGTTCTTCAGACAAACGTTCACGTTTCGCATGCTTTGATTTCACTGACCTGCAGAAAAGCTGTGGTTACCACCTGGACCTGTTCTGGGTGGGTGTTCTGATGGCGGTCTGCTCCTTTATGGGTCTACCCTGGTACGTGGCCGCCACTGTTATCTCCATCGCTCACATTGACTCTCTGAAGATGGAGAGTGAGTGCAGTGCCCCTGGAGAGCAGCCACAGTTCCTTGGAGTCAGGTGAGACTTGCTCGAATCTTTTTAAACTTGAAAGAGTTCACTTCTTCTGTTCGGAAAAAGAAAAGTTTTCATTAGTCTTGCAACAGAAGGAGAGCTGTGATCCTTCTCTAATAGACACGTTATTTTCAGAGAGCAGCGGCTGACTGGTACTCTGGTGTTTGTGCTGACCGGACTCTCAGTGTTCCTCGCTCCCGTCCTTCAGGTCAGTCTTTGGATTTGACTTGAGGCTTATTTGTTTCTGTTAGTTTTCCTCAACTTTTACACTTAAAGCAAATCTACAGAACAAGTTAGTTTGAAACCCAAGATGCTTATGCCAGAACTTGAAACCCCAATTGTCAGAGGAAACAAGATGGCGCTAAACATCAGTCACCATTTTCTAGGTCCAAATATCTTTTGTTTTCTGTGACTTCAAATGATTTTCTTTTTGGGACTCTGGTAGTTTGTCCAAAAGTTGAAGTGGTAGTTTCTCCTTCTCTGACGTTATTGAGCGGAGAGCTTCTCACACCAGTGGTGTTCTCTTGCTAAATACACAAGTGTGTAATGTATGGAGAACCCAGGAAAGTGTGGTGGTTCGGAGAGGCCAACAACCAGATGGTCCATCAGTTGCTTTTGGTTTATCGTAACAATCCATTTATAGCTATACTATGCTACCGCGTTGTTAAGATATATAAAAAAATGTTTTAAGCTGTTTTCCAAATTTGCCATTGCAGCTTTAATCCATGTTTTGTTTATGATCAGTATATCCCCATGCCAGTTCTCTATGGAGTCTTCCTCTACATGGGAGTGGCATCGCTGAGCGGCATCCAGGTTTGTTAAGCATCCTAATACTTCACATGAAGGTATCTGAAGCTTGTTTTTTGGAAGTTTTTGTAAACATTTTATTAAAAAAATGTTTAAATGATTTATAAAGAAACAGTTAAATAATACAGACAAATTTGAAACAAAACATCGTTGGATACCAAAATGAAGAAGAAAAACTCGACTGTTTTTGCTGCAGTTTTTATAACTTTGAATTGAAAGGATTAGGTTGAAACATGCTGCATTGTGGCTGCAGTGAACATCCTAGTAAACATCCTATGTATTTAGAACCACAAGTTTTTATAGATTTTTGTCATATTTCAAATCTGTAAAATGTCCCTAGGAGGTGTAAGAGTGTGTGACTGGTGGTGTGTCCCTGTCATGGACTGGAGACTTGTCTATAGTGTAAGGAATTAGGCACCTGCTCTCTGCAACCCTACAGAGAATGAAGCGTTTAACATAATGAATGAATGAATGAATTAATTAATGAACGAATGAATGAATGAATGAATGAATGAATGAATGAATGAACGAATGAATGAATGAATGAATGAATGAATGAATGAATGAATGAATGCTTTGTCAAACTGAAACACTTTTGCATTATCTTTTGTCCAATAATTAAATGTGCATGACATTTTTACTATTTTTCTATAGAATTGCTGAAACATTATTAACCTGTCATTCAGTGCAACAATCTTGGGTGAATTTAATCTTTTTTTTAATAAAATAATTGTTTTAAATAATTATCATTGAAATATTGACCATAATAGAGCCCTGCACTGAAGCCCTAAACCCTCGGGTCAGCCCGGCCTGACGGCCCTCGGGCCGGGCTTCGGGCCAACGACTGTGTAATTACCTTGGACACGGGCCGGGTGCCTTTATTTTTAATTGAATTCATAAAAAAAAATTGAAACACTTAAACCAGGGGTCGGCAACCTTTTCCCATCAAAGAGCCATTATTACCCGTTTCCCACAGTAAAGAAAACACTGGGAGCCACAGCAGCCGCGGCGTTGTGGGCGGGGCCTACCCTCAGACAGCAGAGCGCTGCTCACAACAGGTGACAGCAGCCGGTACCGGTCGCTCGTGTACGTCAAAGTTATCTTTCATAAGACGATAATCAATAAAACGATTTATATAAAGTGGATCCAGAAGTTGTACCCGTCTCTGCTACAATATTTTGATATTTTTCACCCTGTTGGTGGTTTTACTGAGCAGGTGCCACTTTTGTCATACGTTTCTTTTTAAAACATGTTTAGACTGTTCAGAATACAAATCCAGGCTCTGTCAAGTTTGATTGTTGTAATTAAACTTTGTAGGTGGGGAAGGTCAGAAAAGGATCCGATCATTTTGTTTTTCCCTCATTTACAGTGACAGAGATAACGGTGCAGTGCGCCTGGCTCTGGTGTTAATCAAGTTTAATTATATCTCTTTGCAACAATTTTCACGAGAAAACAGAACAGTTAAAAGCAGGGCATGTGTTGTGTTGACCGGATAGTTCCCGTATTCTGCCATTTATTTTGACGGAGAAAGAATAGAAAGAATTACCCCGACGCATGCAGACGAACTGACACTTTATTCGTTACGCACATCGTGCTCCAAGCCAGTCTCCACAACTTCAGCTCGCTGTGCACATATGCGCTGACAGTGAGCTGCGCTGAGCAATGTCCAGCTCAGATGTTCAGATGGGAATCTTTTCTTGAGTGATTTAGCTACATCTGCAATGTGCGTAACGAATAAAATGTCAGTTCGTCTGCGTGCGTCGGGGTAATTCTTTCTATTCTTTTTCCGTCAAAATAAACGGTCAAATACGAGAACTGTCCGGTCAACACAAGCCCTGCTTTTGACTGTTCTGTTTTCTTGTGAAAATTGTTGGAAAGAGATAAAATTTAACTTGATTACCACCAGAGCCAGTGCACCGTTATCTCCGTGACGGTAAATGAGGGAAAAACAAATTGATCGGATCCTGCACGTCATTTAACACATTGGTCAGGATTGATGCACTTTGCTTACATTTACTTGGTTAAAAAAAGTCGGGCTCGGGTCGAGCCAGAGAATCCTGAAAACCTTTTCGGGTCGGGTCGGGCTGGGGCTCCACCCCCTCGGGCCAGGCCGGACACGGGCTCAGATTTTAGGCCCGTGCAGGGCTCTAGACCATAAAAGGTCATGATTATGATTTTTGTTCTACAATAAAGAATCTCTGTATCACATTTGCTTCAGTTCTGGGAGCGGATCAAGCTGTTCCTGATGCCTCCGAAACACCAGCCCGACTTCTCCTTCCTCCGTCATGTTCCCTTGAGACGTGTTCATCTCTTCACCCTGGTTCAGATCATCTGTCTGGCTGTTCTCTGGATCCTCAAGTCCACGTTCCTGGCCATCATCTTCCCAGTCATGGTGTGTTTTTGTGGTCTTGTTGGTTCATTTCCAGTAAACTGTGACTAAACGACTAAATAACATTACCAAACTAATCTATGACAAACTAGCCCAATGCTAACACATGCTTCACTTTAGCCCCTTCCAAACAAGCGCCAGCTCCACTCTGTATAGTCACAACCCACCCCAGCCTGGCCCTCTTGATTACACACTTATCCTTACACACATCCTTAGAAATGCGGATGTGACTGTGCATAAGGGCAATTTTGAGAATTGTCGCAAATATATCAGTGATGTCGTGAGTGCATCTTTGACTATGCAGGCGGGGCAAAAGAAGCACAGAGAAGTCTGCGATAAACAAAAACGGCAGCTGTGACCAGTGTTGCTTTTGTAGACGGACTTTGATTTATCATCCTGCTCTGCTGTCTGTCCTCCCACGGGGCAGGTCGACCCTCACAGCTCTGTGTGTGTGTGTGTGTGTGTGTGTGTGTGTGTGTGTGTGTGTGTGTGTGTGTGTGTGTGTGTGTTTGTGTGTGTGTGTGTGTGTGTGTGTGCGCGCGCGCGCTCACAGCAGAAACATGTGGCTTCAGCCAGAGGTGTTCTCTCCTCCTCAGAAACCAGCAAGATAATGAATTGTGCATGTGTTAAGCCCCCGCTGGCTGATTCTATCTGCCAATTGGAGGCTCCCCCTCATGGTAGGCATGAATTTGAGCCAGCCAATTAGTCTGCAGTGGGTGTGTTGGACCAGTTTGGCTCCAAGCAGACCGCCTTGGGAAGAGGGCTGAAAAAACGACCAGTTGTGTGCGGGGAAAATCCAGGATACCCAGATAAGGACACCCTTTACCTAGTCCAGGCAGAGTAAAGCCAATGCTAGTGTGGAAGCCTTTTTTGCTGCTTTAGGAGGTCAACATCATGTTGTGCATATCCTGTAATGGTACACACGGCTAAACACACGGTAAAACATTACTGATGTCAATTCTGAAGTGGTGTCATCTTTTGGCACAGACTCATCAAGAGTTTCTCTCTTTTGACCCCTAGAATTTAGAACTCAAGGCAAAGTTCACATTGAATAATTAAAAATAAGGAACAATATTGAACAATGGAGAAAAAAAAAGGTTTTTGTGCTGCTAAGTGTCCATCACCTGTCCGTAGATTCTGGGTCTGATGGTTGTAAGAAAGCTACTGGATCTGATGTTCTCACAACACAACTTAGCCTGGTTGGATGACATCCTGCCCGACAAAGACAAGAAGAAGAAAGAGGACGAGAAGAAGAAAAAGAAAGAGAAGAAAGCAGTTGAACCAGAAAGTGATGAGGAGGTAAGAACTGAGCGAGAACACGGAGACAATAGCGCTGCCTGTCTATTCAACACTCCATCAGTGTAATCCCCTAAAGGTTTTTCTGCAGTGTGTATTTACATCACTCCATTTGCTGGTCCTGGTTTGGTTTCACAGACTAATATTGGATGTTTCTCCTTTCTGTCCCACAGTGTTGCTGAAAAGGCACTGTATAACACTTACTATGATCTTCTCGTCTGTTGACTCTCTTGTCAGTGTGTTTATCCTCCTTTTCCACACTTTCCAGCCCTGTAGAAAGAGTACTTTTGCCTGTTTGTGTCCATCATGTCCCTGCTTTATGGTCTTTGTTTTGTTTACATCAAGAAAACTCCCAAGCCTGAGCTTAAACCTTGCAGTGAGCTGACACAGTTTACTCAAAATTGTTGTAAGCCTTTTTCAATAAGTTCTGCACTTTAGTGTACCAAACCAATTTCCTAATTCATGGATCGCCTGCTTCCTGATCACATGACATGTGACACACTCAGATGAAAATCAACTTTAGAGCCGTGGTGTTTACTCTCAAAGTGTGCAAGCTCGTTTGTCTGTCCCATTAAAGAACGTAATAAACGACTTTTGTCGTCAATGGCAGTGAATGAGTTAAAACAGGGAATCTTACATTGTTTTAAAAACGTCATTGTTTTTAACCAACACATGTCTGGGGTTTTAGGATCAGAGCCAATGAGAGATGCCGGTGAGGGATACATTAAATCTTTCTGCCTTCTTTGTCTAGAAATGAAGCCACAATAACTAGTTGATGTGAAGTTCCACGTTTTTATTTTTGGAACCAGAGTCTCAGGATGTGGAGGTGAAAATGCTGCCTACTCACAGACACACAGTCAGGACGTTTATTAAATATCAGCGTGAATAGAACTAGGCACCTGGAAGAAAGATCTGATGCGTATTTTAATTTTCTAATGTGATAAAAAAAAATCTGAAAATATTTTATATGTTATTTATTGACAGGGTGTGAAGCAACAATTATACTGTAACAGCCACTAGCTTCAATTTCAAAGGTCTGGTCAGAAGTCAAGCAACTAGAAACACACTCTTGGGTCTGCAAACACAGATGAAATGCTTCATTAGAAAATAAAACCATTGTTTAAACCAGTTCATGCTCATGGCTGCAGGATTTTCTCAGTGTTTCAGTAATTTACAGCCATATGTGTAGGAATCAGGGGCCCGGGTTAAAGCATAGAAATCCGTTTTAAGACAACACCTGCATGCCAACCTTTTCCTGTTTCAGCCGGACCGCTCTGCTCTCACTCCTGTCAAGATTTACCTGGAGGCATTAGAACCCCCCCCAGAGTCAGGTCCCGCTTACGTTAACCCCTTCAGCCAAAACCAAACCTCTGAGTGAGTACAACCGTCCCCTCTTCCTCTCGCTGTCTGTCTCATTTGGTTTCATGTCTGATTCTGTTCAGTTTGAGAAATAGTGTTTAACTGGTTGAACTTATAATACTGCTCATTTTCTCATACAATACTACCGTTATTGCTAATATTAATAATAAAAAGAAACAATCCTACTAACTATACTAGTGCAATAGGGATTTTTGATTCACATGATCAACATAAAAATAATGTCAACTTGTTTTTTAAGAAAAAATGTGAGTCAGAAAGTGTCGCCAATTAAAGAATTTGAAGAAAGAACATTTGTAAAAAAAGACAATTTTTATGAATAAAATGTGACTGCTTTGGCTGTTAAGTTCTACCAGACACCAACAAGAAGAAATTAGAACAAAGTCAGAGAGATAAAAATAACCCAGCAGAGACTAAGTTTCCTTATGCTGCTCCCCTTAATGCTGGAGCTAATGTGAGCTCTGCAGCACAGCCAGCAGGCAGCTTCAAAACTCTGACATTTGGTCAATGAAGCAAAGAGTAACGAATTCTAATAGTTGTCTTTGGTTTATTGAGGTCTGCCGTGTGTTCACTAGTAAGGCAGATGTGTAATGCAGACGATTCTGTTCTTTTCAGACAGTTTTGCTAGTACTTTGAATTTTGGTTAATAACAGGAGGTATTTTGGACCTGCCAGCGATCAGGCGGAGGCAAGGACAAAACAAAACTTGTGGCAGAAGAGCAGTTGAGGTTTTAAGATAATGCTTGTTAGCTGACATGTAGGGTTGTCACGGTAACCGGTGTAGGTAAACCCCGGTAAAAAAGTTGACAATAATATATAACCGTCTTGTTTTTAAAAACTATATTATCTCGGTGGGATTACCGTGGCTGCGGTGTAGGCGCGGTGACCCTTACCAGCCACCGTATCATCTGCTGAAGTTGCCGACGGCAAATGCGCACTTTGTTGTTTACAACCAAAACTTTCTTGAAGCTAAAGTTGAAATAATGGCCAAAGGAGGAGACGGCAGCACTCACGACATTTTTTATCCCTCAAAGAAGACAAAGTGGAAAGTACGGGCATTTTTTGGATATTTGAAGAATGCCGAGGGACAGTTGATAGAAGACGGCTATCCTGTTTGCAGCACGTGCAGAAAAAGTGTCTGTGAAAGGCAGCAACGCTTCAAATCTCATGACACATCTGCGTGACCATCACCCACAACTCTACAGTCAACGCAAGGCAAGCTAACGTTAGCGTTTTAGCTAAAATGCGTGATCCGAGGATTTGGGTTGAGGGAGAACGCAACGAGTCGCTATATAAAGCAGCCGCAGCGCCGCTACCTGCATATAAACCGTGTCGCGGACACCCCCATGTTGAAATGACGCTATGCATTACGGGGCTCCCAGGGGCAGATAAGAGTTGGTCTCTCTCCGAGAATAATTATAAATTCATGACATTTTCCCAAATCTGCAAAGCTCAGCGGAAGGACACAAACCGAGGATAATATTTTCCTGATATAGGGTTTATTACTCAAGTAAGGGTAAAAAGTATCTGATTAGAAGGCTACTTGGGTACTGGGTATCATCTGATCTAATATTTTTAAAATGATGACATCAAACAGACAAAAAATAAGAAGTTATGGGCAAATATTGGTATTTTAAAGACTAAAGGGAAAAAATGTGAACAAATAAACAACATAATTACAAAATAACACATTTTAGGCAAAATTTAGACACAAACTGAGGACAATATTTCCTGATATACAGGGTTTATTTAATTGTGTGAAAATGTAGCACGTTTAAAAAAAACGCAATAATACCGAAAACCGTGGTAATTTTGGTCACAATAACCGTGAGGTTAAACTTTCACACCGTGACAACCCTACTGACATGTAGCACATCAGACCTGACTTTGTTTATTATGAGTCACTTTTATTATTACACACATTGGCCATCCTCATCTGCTCTAAGCCGAGCTTGTTTCTGGTGCAGGTGGACCCTTCCAGTGGTGCCCATTGTCTAAGGTACTGTTTGAGTTGAACGTGATTCAAAGGAGTGGATATACATATAAAGGTGTCCAGAACAACACGAGTTCCTCTCCCCAAATAAAGCTCTTTGCCCTGTTCCCGAGGAGGAGTCCAGTCTGTCTGTATAGAGGCAGTTCAGTTCAGTTGCTTTGTAATCTCAGCTCAGGACCAAAGCTGGGGGATAAAAATATTTTTGACAGTTTTTCTATCATGTCAGCTTTTTCTTTATTAGAACTTTATTATTCACTGCAGAATATTCACTGGGGGAGCGGTAAGCTGCAGACATGGCTGCGCTTGAGGAACATTTGGTGGTTTAACCCCCCAATCCAACTCCTTAATGATGAGTGTGAAGCAGGGAGGCATTGGGTCCTGTTTTTGAAGTCTTTGGTATGAGCCAACTGGGATTTGAACCCACAATCTCCCAGTCTCAGGGTGGACACTCTACCACTAGGCCACCTGTCACCATCTGTTCTAGCCTCACCCTCCTCACAAGACTGACACGCCTAAAGCAGTGCCTTTATCCAAACCCGGAGTTTACAATCTACCATTTTCTTATTGAGGACCCTAGTTTCAACCTCGGAGGTGCTGATTTTCATCTCGTCTGCTTCACACTTGCTCCTGGCTTAATGAGGCCAACATGACAAAATCATCCACGAGAATCAGGGACACAATCTGAACCCCTCCCCCCAAACCAAAGACCTCCTGCTTGTTTGCTGCAGCAAGAACATCTGTCAATAGAAGTTGTCAACAGGATTAGTACCAAAGGGCAACCTTGGTAGTGTTCAACACTTACTGTGATATCTCTGACAGTCAGGATGCCACTGAGAAGTACTCATTCAGGACGCATCTTCCTGTCAGTTAGAATAAATAACTTATTATAGATTTAAAATTTTATTTACTGTTTGTTTCATATCTAATAATCTCTCTATGTGTTTGTGTATGTATTTCTGTACTTGCTTGTGTTTGCTTGTTCTGTGCTGTTTTGTGCACGTTCTCTCGGCTCGTGTACGTATATGTGCTTTCTTACAGGAGATGAATCCTTACTCAACAGTCACATCCAATGAAAACGAACTAGACCGCAGGTACTGTGTGCTGAAACTGCACGTCCCCATCAAAGATCTGATTTCTGCACCTGAAAGAATCAATGGCTGGGATAAAACCACCAGAGCACCAAACACATAGACACAACTCACACATTTGTATCCATGGATAGATCTGACTTGCTCTCACTGCGGATGTACAGCTGAGACAATATAAAAAACAGTATATTCTGATTAGGTTGGACAACTATTGTTGGATTTTTTTAGAAAGATGTCCAAAGTTAGGTCCAGTGTTCAGTGTGGATTGTTTGTTTGAGAGCTTTAGGCAGACAAAAATCAATGTTAGGATAAGTCTCTGAGCAGGCGAATATTATAGAATGGTTTCGGTGTTACTTTTCTTAGTCAAACAAACCTTCTTGAACAGTTTTGTTTAAGAAGTGTTCTGACTTCCTTATTAATTAGAAACGGAGTGATAAATTGTGATAAATGTTCCACTACCACTGTTCCCAGTATCACTCTTCGCCTGAAGATCTCCTGCCCCCCTTCACCAGTCCACTCCCAGACAAGCCTCGCTTCAGCAGAGCTCCGGTCACTTCGACCGCCACGCCATCCCATCCCTCAGGTTAACATCCAGCTGGAGTCAGACTGCGAGGAGTCAGATTTCTTCTCTAGGCAGCAGCAGCACCAGAACCTGTCCGTACCCACAGAACCAGTGCTGCTGCCTGGAACTCTCAGGAGCCATCACAGGAAGCAGCATTCTCACTTCAGTGACTCTAGTGCCGAGACCATTCTGTAACTGATTTGTACACTCTCACTCTCCATCACACTTATTGAACCTAAACGTCTATGCTTTGTGAGCTCTGAGCTTCCTGTAGCGATGAAAACACTGTAAAAATGAATGAACCCTTACTGAACACATGGTAGTTGTCAGTGATGCTCATGATTTATTCCCATCTTTAGAGCATTTAAAGAGTTGTAGAGAAGACTGAATTAAACCATGTTTATGTGCGCTGTAGATACTAAACCTCTCTATGTCATAAAACCTGCTTCAAAAGACATCTGCCTTTATCTGTGTTGTTTTTCAATTTTACTACTTTTGATGTCTAGTGTGTAAAACAGAATGTGTTCAAATTGGCCTTTGGGGGGAAATTGCAGGTGAAATATTATTTGTAAAAGCCATCATACCTGTAGAGTAGGGTGCTGCGATAATAAATCGATATTCAAAAGCTATGTATGTAATTTTTGGAAGAACTTGCATGCAAACATTTGTGTATTTTCTTTTCTTTTGGTGCAATTCAAACGCAGACCGCTAGCTAACAGCAGTGTGCAGTGGCTTTTGTTCCTACCACTAATATATAAATCCTTCTGTTATGGTTTAGATACCTCATGTTAAACCTGTTGAGTATAAGTGTGTACTGTTTATTGAATATCTCCGTCTTCAGGTTAAAACTCTGCTCCACGTGGATTTAGAATTAGCCACAGCTGATTGCTGTAGAGCTGCAGGGCGATGTCGCCTGTAGCGTACTATGGCCGCACTGTACTGGACTCCCACTGAGTCTCGCCATACCTCCTCATGGTTCAACCACTCATCTGCTGATATGACACCTTGGTGCTCAGAGCTGCTCGCCTCCTTAATGAAAACATCCTCCTCACCTTTTTTTCTAATAAAGGAGGTGAACAGGAAATCCTCCTTCCTACAGTCAGTTTATGTGTCTGCTCTTTGTGAGTGTTCATGTGCATGTGCAAGAGTGCACACGCTTGTTAATGGCTATTTTTTCTGACTGAGAAACTTCGAAAGTGTACATGGGGGTAGAGGGGGGTGCTGTAAATCATTGCCTCAGTGCTGCTCTCTCGGTCCTCCAGGCAACACCTTTTTTCAGGTATTTTTCTAACAAGAACTCTGGTTGAAATAAGTCGACCCATGCCTTGACTCCACTTTGAGGTTTCCTTTTAATCACACACATTTCTTGATCCTAATCAGTAACTTATGGAAAGAACTCACCTTTATTTTATAAACTTGTTGCAGGTGCTTCCTTGGAGGTATGAGTCTTTTGTAAGATCTCCTTTTGTTGCTGTTCTCATTATCTCTGATAATGGTTGCACCAACTAAACACAGTCACTGCAGGCATTAACTCTTGCATTGAACGCGTTTTGGTCCATTAAGCTCGTGTGTGGGTAGCGCTCAGTTTCCTCAGAGTGCCAGATATCATCAAGCATCTGGTTAAAAGCTTTTCCAGAGCTGAATTAAACGCAGCAGGAAGGCCTCTGGAAATTGAAACGGTAGCAGGAAGCCTTGTAGTTCTATTAGAATTCATGCCGGTGACAGAAGGAATCATTAGTACATAAAACGAGGTTGGAGGTGGGAAAATGCAGCGGGGCAGAATTTGCCTCCCAGTGGTGAGGGTGTATTTGCAAGACAAAAACCATCAGTACAGAGAGCAGATGTGAGACAAAACTTCAAACAGCAGCAAAACCTCAAAGGAATTTCTCCTGTTAGGTAGAGAAGTCAAATGTTTCAGCTCAGTCTGCCTGTGCTTGTACAGACTTCTTGTTCCTTTTTTTTAGTAGCCTAGAAATCTAGACGGACAGTAGGAGGTGCAAAATGATTTGGCTCTGCATGCCGGTCTAGCCACATGGAGCCACTGGAGCCTCAGCAGGCCTGAACAGTATTGTGTTATGCCAACCACAGCGCTCTACCAGTTTGGTGGGCAGAATGATGCGGCTGAGACAAACAACAAAGATGGCATTGGCTTGTTTGAAACAGCTTTGGCATCAACTTTAAACTATTTAGACCTGGACTTTTCTTTGAGTCAAGAGCAGATAGAGGTACGAAAGTATTTTATTTGGATAAAGGATGTGTTTGTGCCTTCTTCAACAGTGCGTGGAGGACTGCCCCATTGACTGACATCTGTAGCAGTAAGTCGTGTTTGTTGTCCAATGGCATGAAGAGATAGTTTGAAAGACAACTGTAGATTCCACCCCATGACTGAGCTCTCTCTATGGGTCGTGGACAGAATATATATTCACATATGTAGGATGACTTGCTAGGCTACTTGGTTAGTGGAAGTCTGTGACCTTTCGTTGGTTTTTAAAGTTTCTGCATGATTTCGAAAAACTTTTCAATTTTTAAAAATGCTTCCCTGACATCTGTAAAAGACCTATGACTGTGTGGGACTTTCTGTAGAATGATGGGGTGCCTGGGTCGTTTTGCAGTTTATTCTGTTCCTGCATTCCCAAACAAGGAGTTATGTTTAGATCTTTATGAAAAGTGAAGTATTCTCCTCAGGTATGGGTAAGTTCAGGTGGTGCGAGTATGGCTCCCATGTCCGCAGTCCCGTGGCTGCTTGCACCCCAATTTTAATTTGCACATGAAACACTTCCACCAACGACATTCCACACAAATGCACACTTAGGGCCTCGGGGTAAGCACACTCAACAGCACCGGAGCGAGAGATAGAAAAATGGATCAGAGCTGGGTCTTGCTCCAGACTAATGATGAAGCAAAAGTTTTGATTCACTGTTTTATATTCCAACAGTCTCACAGAAGGTCACACATGTACTGAACATTATCCTAGATACAAGCAACAGCAAAGATTTTCTTCTTTAGAGTTGCTTGGCTCAGCATAAGAGACAAGGTGAAAAGTATCTCAGGGTTGGGCAGCATCACCATGAGTAGCTGATCAGGCATCCCATAAAACATAAAGCCTCCTGGCTCAATCTCTTTGAAGGGTTTTTGGACATGTCCTACTGGGAAATAACCCCTATAGAAGATCCAGAGCTCACTGCAGCGATCACACATTCCTTCTGGTCTCCAGGTTCCAACTGCTGTTAAGCCAGCTATCTGGATTTTTAAACTTCAATTTAAAGTATTTTTTTTAATGTTTGCTAAAGTTGATTCACTTTGGCACACACATTGTGAAGATGTGGCTGATCCAAATGCAGGTGAGTAATCTCTGGGAGGCTGCAGAGAAGGTAAAAACTGTTTATTCAGAGTCAGATCAAAACAACAAGGAAACTCAAGGGGAAGCAACACGGAATGATAGGAGCAGACGAGGTAAACAACAGACGAAACAACAAACAGAACAGATCAAGTAGGTTTAAACACAAGAGGAAACAGGCGAGGAGGGCAACGAGGGGCAGGTGAGACTAACTACAAGTAACGGGATGACCAAGTCAGATGGGGGCAGGGGAGCAGATCCTGACACACACACGCACGCACGCACGCACACACACACACACACACACACACACACACACACACACACACACACACACACACACACACACACACACACACACACACACACACACACACACACACACACACACACACACAGGTAAACATGTATGATTCATCCTTATATGTCAGCCAAAGGTAAAAAAAATACATCTGATTACTGCACTGTGTTAAATAAGAAAAAATAAGATGATTCATCCTTATAAATGGTAAATGACCTGAATTTTTATAGTGTCTTCTCAGGGTTCTACAACCCCCCCAAGGTGCTTCACAACACAATCAGTCATTCACCCATTCACACACTGGTCGAGATGAGCTACCATGTAGCTCTGGGACACACTGACCGAGGCGAGGCCTGCTGAACACTGGCACCACCGGTCCCTCTGACCCCCACCAGCAGGCAAGGTGGGTTAAGTGTCTTGCCCAAGGACACAGCAACATCCTCAGGTCGGAGCCAGGATTGAACCCACAACCTTCCGATTACAGAACAACCTACTTTACCTCCTGAGCTCCTGCTGTCCAATACACTGTATACTCACTCATGTTAGACCTTAAGAAGAGCTCTTGTTTACAGGAAGAAAAAAACAGCCACACTACCCACTGTTTAAAAACAATCTTGTACATTTTTTTATTCAGGTTTTACAAATTATTTAGGTAAAATGATAATGTTTGCTCTCTTATAATGAAAATGTACATTTATCAATTTTCAATAAACATCACATGTACAGTACATCAAAATAAATACATCATCTGGTGGCTTGATCGAGTTTGCACCTAAATATCGATCAAGTAACTACAGCTATAGAATTCATATTTGCAACAAGGCATGGTTTTCATTTTGCTCTTTACTAGGTGGTTTTAACTGGGAGCCACTGGGGCCAATCCAGCCTATCAGTCAAACCGTACGTCAGAAACAAGACAACTGGCCTGATAGTTATTTAAAATCTATTTACCTCTGATGTACAGCCGAAACCAGGAGGGACCGTCTGGAAAAATAAAAGTCTTGAAAATAACTGAAGGCAGGAGGAACTTTTATAAAACAGAGGGCGTCTTTATTTCCTTCCTAACAGCTTGTTTCAAGCGAGAGTGACTCATCAGTCTGAATGAAAACAAAACTAACATCCACTGTTTTCAAAAATCATCATTAATCATCTTTGTATTTGCCTTGCTCTGCACTTCTTCTATCTGAGCTGTTTTTAACCTATTTTTAATCAAACAATAATGTTTTGTTTTTTACGTACACATTGCACACTCATCTGTTTGAATATTTGTCTTTTATTTATTTCTGCTTGGCAAAATCAGAATAAGGTTTAGCTGTTAGTGGTGAAGCTGATCAATAAAAGCAGACTAACCAACAGGAGGGGCATTTCGAGTACAGGAGCATATTGCTGCCAAAAAAGTAATAATAAAACTGCTCTACATGTTTTTATGATGTGAAATGTTTTAAACCTATTTTAATTATAATTTTTGAAATGTTAAATCTTATATATTTTTTATTTTGACAAAATATTTTCATGTTGTCATTATGTTGTAGTCAGAAGAAGCATGATAAATGATAAATGACCCGCACTTGTATAGCACCTCTCAGAGTAAGGACACCAAAGCGCATTACACTACAGTGTATCATTCATCCATTCACACACACATTCATACACTGATGGTGATGAGCTACGATGTAGCCACAGCTGCTCTGGGGCGCACTGACAGAGGTGAGGCTGCCGAGCACAGGCGCCACCGGTTCCTCCGACCAATATTAACTTTTATGAGCAATAAAAAAAACTTGTTTCCTTTTTCAAGGTGGAATGATTAAACACACAACTTTTATGAATTCTAAAGACAAGAATTGAGTTCACGAGTTTAAATTTACTGTGGATCTTCTCTCTTCCAAACAGGTTCAGAATTATACATGCAGGCTGAAGTCTCTACATTCACTTAAAAATGGAAACAGTGGCTGTAATGGATTCGAAACGTCTGTAAACATAGTCAAGGCAAAGGCTGATTAACTTCCTTTAATGTTATGCTCTTTCTGTTTATCTCCTAATTCCATAGTTTTTCTGTTCTGATCTTGTACACTACTACTCTGTGTTTGAGAACAGAAAAACTCTGATTAACTTCCTGTTTGTGACGGCTGATTGCAGCTGGTAGTTTCTCTTGGACATTTAATAAAGGATTTGTTTTAAAGCACTTATTTAACCAACCCATGTGGGTCACAAATGAAACAAAAGCATGTTCAGGAACACGGCAGGAACCACCAAGGCCAAAGTCATGAACTGGAACCTGCTGAAACATCAGTATCACTGCAGATTTAGAGGCTGCTGAACAACAAAGAAGCTCCTGGTCCACAAAAATAGATGCCTTAAAGCTCAACTAAAACCTGCCGCTGGCCAAATGAACTAGTTAAGCGTCTTCTGGAAGTTTTACGGTGAGAGGAGGCAAAGATTGAGTTTTACATCCACAGTGATGAGAAGAAGAGTTGGAACTATCCTGAGTGTTAAAGTAGTAAGACTATAGTGAGTATTTTACAGAGAGAAAATCCCAAAAGAGTCTAATGTTTCAGTCAATTTGGAAGGAAAGTTATACCGAAATATAGTTCATATCCAGCTGGCTCTGGGGATTGTCAGTTTTTCTTCCTTTCAGAACAAAGGAAGGAGGGACGTAACTACTGTTTACCATCAGTGAGCGTGGGGGCGCCGTGTCTCCTGCGAGCTAATACTGCAACGCCGACAATTGACGGCCGGCAAAAAGCTCCAGAGTTGTGGTTGCAATAACCAAATTTTACCACAGGATGCCATTTGTGCTTTATTTCTACATAATGCACCTTTAAGCATGGTGGTGGCATCATTCTGTGGAAATGGTGCCTTGGGTTAAGTAGATTGCATAACAGAAAAGAAGGCCTTCCTCTAGATTCTTGTACTTGACCTGAATTTACCATTGAAACTTGGACATAGTTGGACGTTCAGAAAATGACCCCAAACAAGAATTCAAACTAATTTCTGATTGGATAAAGTAGACCATTGTTAAGCTTCTGGTGTGGCCGTCCACAAATTTGATAAAAAAATTGTGACCTTTGTCCAAAAGTACAGTCTTTGCCAAAAAATCAGCCAGGTTCAACGACCTCCACAGAGAAGAGAAGATTGTTGACTGATACAAAAAGATTAAGTTGAGGTGAAACTTACTGAGAGATATTAATGTTTCAAATAGATGTTTGAGCCTTTATAATTTTGACCCTGTTAGGAACAAAGAATAAAAAGCAATAAAACTTTTGCACCTTGAGCTTATTTGTAAAACCCTTGAACAAGTTTGTTGTGTAATTGGGATGTTCATGCCCTTGCTGCGTACATTTACAAATCTCTGACTGCAACTGTACTTTCTTATCCAGTTATAACAAAAACTTCACACTTTTGTAACAAACGACTCAGCTTTCATTTTAACGGAGGGGCAGCAAGGTGCTTCTATACATAGCTTCAGTTATTTTCTAACAGAAGGCTGCAGCAACTACAGACATGCAGATCACCTTATTGCACAAGTCATTGATCTTCATCAGTAACCATACTAGACCAAAAGGCTCAGTTTTCTATCTTCCATCACAGGGAGAGCACCTCTCTTGTGGAGTGGTGGTCACAAGATTTTGGCTCCCAAACAGGGCTTTGTGGAATTCCAGCAACGAGAAAGACGTGACGAGTCCATTATCTGCTTCTACCTTCTGGCTTTGATACTAAACAGTGCAAATCCCAACAAAGCAGTCCTCTGAACTTACAGCTACTTGCCACCAATTAGTTTCAGTGGAGAAAGACTATTGCTACAGCAGTAATAACAGCAAAAGAAAAAAAATCCACTCTACAATCAAACTTCTCAAACCAGCGATCTGAAGCCATGGCTTGAGGCAACGAGACAAACTCTAACAGAGTTGTTTGATGAGTTGCATTTCAACTATATTTGACCTCAGAGCAGAAATGTAGAATTCTGTTTGTAACAAAGATATCTACAAAATACATTTACTGTCTACTACAGAAAAATGACCATATTTGTATCAAAAATGGGCTTCCACTCGAATGAAAATATTAAGGAATTTTATTTCAAGGATTCTACTGGATTATTCATAACTGAGGGCAACAAAAACCTACATGTAAATGTGTCTTGTCCCCGACGTTTCCCTCTTCACCCCTCCAATAAACACTCTCCTCCACCCACTCCACCTGGTCTACAATCCACCTCCTCTTTGTTTGGTGGTTTCTCTTCTGTTTCCCACAATGCCTATAAAAGCTATCACATCAACGGAGAAGAGAGAAGGATCAGTCACTGGTTTAACGACAGGAGGGGCTGGACATCATTATTTGTATTTACATCGCCTCCTCCTGGGCAGAGTGGGGCGGGCGGGGAAGATGAAGAGTTAGCACGGGCTGGTCGGTTCAGAAATGTCTTTAGGGAGACTTCTCATATTGACACCTCATATTCACGAGCGTCCTGCTGGTAACGACAGAGAAAAGCACACGAGGAAGTGTCAGGTCTATAAATGTAAAGGTATGGACAGTTTGGTGGTAAATGGACTATGGACATTTTTCAATATCCTGGGCACTTACTCCTCCCGTTTCATAAAGTGGGTTGTCAAACTCTGTCTCCACGGTGATCTGTCGGTAAGGGTGTTGGTAGATAAGAGGCAGCCTTAGATTGGAGTGATATCGGCACCTGTCAGGTAAAATGAAATGATAAAAAAAAAGCATTTATATACAATTATCAGACAACATAAGAATAACAAGACTTTTATTCTCTCGTTGCTTCGTTTATTTGTTGTACAGTTGTAAATTATGTGCATATTTTTATTTTGCAAAAAGAACACAAATAACACAGCTATGTCTGCTGCCCATAGACCATTCAACCCGGGTTCTAGAGGGTGACTGCCCTTCATGTTTGAGCTGTTCCAGCGGTTCCATCACACCTGATTCGATGACTGAACCACTTCATTTACGCGTGCATCTAAGCTATGGCGGTAATGGAGCTACTACTTTAACCAGAGCCTTTATTCTAGCTTACATGTCCAACAGAAAACAGAATTATCAAAGGAAGTGCTTTCAACTCCGCAACGGTAGGAGACGACATGCGCTGGTGCTGGTTGGGAGAGAAGCAGATGGAATGAAAGCAGGATATGTGCAAACTGGCCAAAGGAATGGTTTACATGTTTGATGTGTTGATGGTGTTACATGTCAGATGCATGCAGGGTATTGCAACATTAATATTATCAGAAGACAGCTTCCATGGTTTTGTCACTTCCAGAAGGGGAAGTGCCCGGGCCGTTCATAGCTCAGCTAAAGCATGATTTATACTTCTCTGTGAACTCAGGTGTGGAGTTGCACACATGCATTGACTTTCTCCTTTCAGATTTCTCAGTGTTGCAAAGCAATTCCCTGCTAGGACAACAGAGAGAGCTTTTCTGGGGGTATCTTGTTCATTTAGCAGACGCTTTTATCCAAAGCGACTTACAATTTATAACCTATAGGGCATGTTGTGATCTGTGGGGGAAACTAGAGTACCCGGAGGAAACCCACACATGCACTGGGAGAACACGCAACTCCACGCAGAAAGGCCGCAGTCGAGTTTCGAAACCTGCAACCTTCGTGCTGCGAGGCAACAGTGCTAACCACTGCGCCACCATTGCAGTTAAGTCCAGATCATGTATTTACTATTGTGTGTTTATATTGTGTTTATGTATTCCAGAGACATTTCAACACAGACTAATTAGTCTCTCATTCTCCTCCAGCTCTTCATGCAGTCTCCACCTTCCAACCCACGTTTCTCGTAGTTACCATCCTTGAATAAATAGTTTGCTGTGCATCTTTGTGCTCCTTCAGTCACGGGTTTATAAACTTGTATATCATCTTTTTCCCACGAGACTTTCTCAGATCTTTCTCCGTGTCTGCAGCATGATGTCTTTGGCACTGATTTTGTTTTTTGAGAGTGCTGTTGATAACTTTAAAAGCAGAGGCATCCTGGCCAATCACAGGCTTGTTGTCTATGATGTTGCTTTTGACGACAGGTACACAATGGAGCATGGCTCCGTCAACTTCTGTGGGCTCCTTTGAAAAGGAGCCCTTCTGTCGACCCATCATGGCGTTGCATCTCACCGTACCCCTCCATAGCCTGTATAAAGGTATCAGTCAACTCTGTCGAACATAAATGACTCCAGCTTGGGAGTGTTGCCATCTGTAGCAGTTTTGCATGTTTGTGCATTATAACCCATAATGGGATCTTGTCAAGCGTGGTGTGTGTAAAGAAAAGGAGAGTTTTATTATGTCAGTTTGAAGCATATTGTAGAAATCTCAAAGTTGCGAGTAAAAACAGTGTTTAAGTATTAAAGGTGTGGAACATTCGTTTAATCAATACATTTTCAGTAGGGATGAATGTGCTCTGCAGTAGACTGGCAACCCGTCCAGGTTATAACCTGCCTGCTTGCCCAAAGACTGGAGATGGGCACCAGCCTCCCTGCGATGCTGTGTGTATAAGCGGGTAAAGAAAATGCATGGATGGATAGGAATAAATGCCACAAAAGTCGTATTCTAGGGAACAAAAACACAGATGGGCCATTTTCAGGGACTACAACAGAGCCACATCACAGCTGAGCTTCAGATGGCGTTATTTGGAGTCTTATTTCCTGATATTTGGACATCTTGTCCCTGATTGGATAACGGCAACGTGACTCCACCCCTGTTTGTTTGCTCTGCAATGTTGATGTTTTATCTCCACAAATAACTGAAGCCTTAGGGAGTTCTGCTGTGTGGTGGAGTTGCTAATGCTAATGATTAGCTTCTGCTAGCCAAGATGTTCTGCTGATTCCTGGATGTTAAACCAACAACAGCCTTCTCTGTTGTGAGTCAAGATGGATGAGTCCATGCATGTTCAGTTACAGTGTAGATTTTCACCAGATTTTCACCTGTTTAATCAGAAGCTAATACAGAAGATAGGTGTAGGAATCTATTTTCATGTTCAGCTTGCATGAAAACTCACAGTGACCAATTAGGAGATTTTAAATTGTTCTTTTGCAGTGTTCCACATCTTTAAGCCATGGAAATGGTAAAAAGAAGAGAATATTTGATATAAGCATTATTGATCAGCACCAGTGCCATGTGGAGCTTACGTAAAACTCGAGCACAATTTTGTTGTTCCAAGATCAGCCTAAAATGTAAACATTTATTTACTAGAACTAACCTGGTGACATAGACATAGGCTCCTCCCAGCATCACAGACAGCAGCAGAATAAGGATGAAGATGGCCAATGTTATGTTTCCTCCATCCAGAGGGGAGCCTGCAGTGGCCTCTGCAACTAACACACAACACATTAATAATACAAGGTTAATAACTGCAAGAGGCTTACCCAGAGAACAAATAACACTTCCACACATCAGATTAAAGGTGTTTTAGCAAACACAGGCAGGTGATGCAGGTAATCACAAGGATAAACACAGCTGGAGGGACAAACACATAGAAATGGTCCTGGCAGGCGGATGACGTAGGCAGAGCAGGCACACAGAGGTGCAGTGGTCTGGTGTGATTTCTTGGATTTAGTGTGTTATGTCTTATTTTTGTCAGTTTAGAAAATGTTTATTATTTGATCTCAGAGCACATCAACGTACACAGACACTCACCTTCCAAAGCATGGTTGCCAAAGCAGTCATGGTTGGCTGCAAAACATGATTCTGTCAGTCATTGCATTTGAAAATCAACATCACTCACTGTTCACAACCTGTGGCTTTTTTAACATCAGAAGGCTCGTTTGGTGTCATCAGCTTTATATTCCCACATGTAGTAATTATTGTTCTTGTGTCTGTCAAGATTTCTGATATTATCACTCCTCCTGTTTTCCTACAACCAACCAAGAACTTTCAAAATGTATACACTTTAACCCACAATAAAGTATGTGATGTTATATTATTTGAGAACAAAATATAAATAAAAAAATTAAAGAGCATATTGCAGGCTAGAGCCTCCCTTAACCCAATGTTTAGAGAAACATAATAGGGACACATTTTAAATAAAAATGTACACATGCATAAATTATTTTGACTTATGGAGTCATTTTTGTAAGACATATTTTTTTCTGCCAAACTGGAAGTGACGTAGGCCAAGGGAGACCTGTTAGCTTTATCAAGAGTAAAATATGTTTTTTAATGCTTGCTCTGACACAGCGGAAACTTTAAATGTTTATAATTATTATGAACCACAACCATACAGTTCTGAGCCAGCTGCACACCCCAGAAAGCAGAGACAGGTCAGAGGGAGAGAGAAACATTGCAGCTGCCGACAGCAAAGATTGGACAGATTCTGTTTAACTCTGTCTGCATGGAAGTGCATTAGGATGTTCTCACAGTGAGTCTTGGCCCCGCGCATCGCCAACACGTCTTGGGTTTATTGAGCATGTATGTGAAATGTACACTGGCTTAGATAGATGATGGCAACTTGCCTGTGGCACTGCAATGTGAGTGAGTGAGTGAGTGAGTGAGTGAGTGAGTGAGTGAGTGAGTGAGTGAGTGAGTGAGTGAGAGTGGGTCGTAATAGGGTTGTATGTGCATCACACTCTGTTATTCACACTGACGCTTGTATTGTTTAAATATTTCATGGTGCAACAAAGGTACACAAAAGTTAATCATCGTTATAATTGGCTAAAGGAACCCAAACCGTTCTAAATTCACCCTTTGTGGTTCTGTGGTCTGTGTTTTCGTGGTTTTGTGGGCTGCATCCCATTTCGGATTGTGCAGGCTTGCCTAAGTTCCGTGGTTCTGTGATGTTGTTATCGTTCGTTGCTGGTATCTGAAATTTTGGTGTCGGCTGTCCCATCACGGACATCGTATTTCTGTGTTGTATTGTGGTGTTAAATCTGTGCCAAGGTACTAGAACCCTGGCTGTGAACTTTATTTCAACTGTGTCTCTGTGTGAAAAACCTGCAGGTTCTGTTCTGTGTGTCTCTGTGTGTGTGTGTGTGTGTGTGTGTGTGTGTGTGTGTGTGTGTGTGTGCCCGACCAAAAGCTCTGTGTGGAAGACAGAAACGGAGGAGAGTTGATTTGCTTCAGTGGCTGCCAAATGTTATCTGAAAAAAGTCATTTTAATATACGCCCTTATCTACAGTTTAATTGTATTTCTGACAATTTTTACATTAGAAATAATTGGCGTTCTTCCAGCTTGTTTTACTAAACCAGTAAACAAAACAACGTAGATAGAATGGGGAATACCGCTTCTAAAGACAAACTGGAGGGAGATATGAAATATATGTCTCATAAACACCCTGATAGCTTAAAATTTATGGAAAAATGGCGCAAGAAGTACAAAGTCGATGGGAGGCTGGAAGGTCAACAATGGCAGGATTTGGTCAGCATGTACACACTTAAAGTTGCGGCAGCCACTGGCAAAAATAAATTAGCTAAGGAAGAACAGCTGCAGATAGTGACGATTTGGCGAGATGAGACAGATAAAAGACAGGAGGATATCCGAAAAAGTAAGGAGAGAAAGAAGGGGAAAGAAAGTACAGCAGGGAAAAATGTATCTGTCCTAAGTAAACTAACTCCTTCAGCTCCGCCGGCTGAATGGACACACCCATTTAAACCCGGAGAACAGTCAGAGAAGTGGGTCCCAGATATGATGGAGGTGATTCACTCCCACCGCTTAATTGGCCAAGGATTAGATCAGCTGGCTCAAGCGAGCCTTCTAAAACCTCCCGCGACTGGACAAATGACTGAAGACTTAAAACCCCAGTTTGATGTTTTGGAGACTCCTAACTTAACCCAGTTAACAACTATTAAACAAAAGACTGGTGAGTGCGTAGATGACTTCCGTGCCAGATACCAAAAACAATTTAACCTCCTTAGTACCCTCATGCCCGACGCTGATAAAGATGGACCTTATGTCCGGCTGTTATGTGCTGATTTGTCGAAAGGTTTCCTGCCTGCAATTGTTGAACAAATCAAAACTCACTTCATTCTCTGGGAAACCTGCAATGTTGAAGAATTGATGTTATACGCCAGATATGCAGAAAAGGTCATCCAGGGAAAAATTAAAGAGCCAAAAACCCCAAATCAACCCCACAAAGCCCCCCTGACCAAAAGGGGAATAGGAGGAAGAATTCTAAACGGAGGCAGAGACAGTGGGTCAATTCACAGGCCCGATCACAACAGTCCGTTTGCTGGACCTGTGAAGGTCAAGGTCACTTCTCACGCGATTACCCCTCAAATTAAACTAGATCCCTGCAATATTCTGGTTTACAGCCCCTTTTTGAACTCTATCTCTCCCGTGCAGACCCAACCAAACTCCCAGTTTAGGCCCAGAATTGAACAATTATTTAAATAAACAATACCCTTTTTCAGTGTTTCTGCTCATCCTAACTTGGTTTGCTTTCACCTACAAAATTTAGGGCTCAACTAACAAAATCTGTACCTTACAAAATCCCACTATTTTCACTCAAGCAATCACTAATTGTCTCTGACTTTCAATGTTCAGCAAATTCTCAAATTCTTGTTTATGTGGATGACGTTTTGGTTGCTTCAGACAATGCTGAGTCCTGCTTCAAAGACCCTCTCGCTCTGCTGCAGCATCTCCACAAAACAGGGAACAAAGTCAGTAAAAATAATCTACAGTGGGTAGAAATTATCAGTACGGCATGTGGGAAACACTCTGTCAGGTGAAGGCAGGCAGATCCAGTCAGGACGAAAGGAAACCATTTTGAACGCCCCAAAACCCCAGACTAAAAAGCAGATGATGCAGTTTTTAGGCCTTGCTAATTACTGCAGACAGTACATTCCCCATTATGCAGGAAAAACTCAGCCCCTTTCTGAAATGATTCATGGCCAACAGATGGAAATGAATGACAAGCTTTCCTGGACCCCTTTAACAGAAACAGCGTTTGTAAACCTGAAACAAGACATTCATTCTAGCACAACTCTGGTTTTACCTGACCATTCTAAACCTTTCACTCAAACTGTTGATTGTAGAAATGGGTTTATGACATCTGTTTTACTACAAAAACATGGTGATAAACAGAGGCCAGTTGCTTTATACTCAAAGAAGTTGGATCAGGTGGCTCAAGCTTTGCCCATTTGTGTCCAAGCTGTGTCAGCAGCAGCTCTTGATGTCTCGTGTTCTGCAGACGTGGTTCTGTTCCACCCTCTGACTCTCTTAGTGCCGCATGCTGTGGACGTGTTGTTGTTGCAAGGTAGATTGGGTCTGTTATCTCCTGCTAGAAATCTGAACTACACCGCCATTTTGATTTCTCAGCCCCACATCACCATTCAGCGATGTAACATCCTGAATCCTGCAACTTTGTTGCCCACTCCAGCTGATGGTGACCCACACAGCTGTGTTGAAGCCACTGACCATTTACAGCTCTCCAGACCCGATCTCAAGGACACACCACTCCCTGATAGTTTGTTATGGTTTGTGGACGGATCATGTTCCAAAACAGAGACAGGCAAAACTCAAACAGGCTATGCTATTTTGCAGGCACCTGACAACGTGATTGAAGCTAAATCTTTACCACCTCATTTCTCAGCTCAGGCTGCTGAGATGATTGTCCTGACCAGAGCATGTGAGCTGGCTTCTGGTCAGCCTCTGACAGTTTACACTGACAGCCAGTGTGCTTTTTCTACTGTGCATTGTTTTGCTAAGCAATGAGAACGCACTGGGACGTAATTTTGGGGGGGGGGACGGGTGGGACATGTCCCCCCCACTTTTTCAAAAGGCAGTTTTGGTCCCCTGCACTTTTTTCCATCCAAAAACAATGTTACGCTCCATTAAATGGTTTTGGTTGAGCACTAGGACCGAAACGGAAACCGGTTTACTATTAGACCCGCCCAAAAGCTAATCTATTGGCTCTGCTGATACTTGCTAACGTATTATTGGCTGTTGCTGCTGTCACTCAAGTTGTAAACAGTCAGAACGTGCTCACGTTGTTTTGCTAGTTTGGAGCCGCTAGGGAACACCGGTACTGAGTCACATCGTCAACTAGACGCTGTGTAATATCAGAGCTCAGCTCAGCTTCCATTACATAACATTTGAATAAGTGTTCATTTGTGAGTCTTTGGTAGTTAGGCACAGCCAGGAGGCAGCATGTCAAGAAAACGAAAAGTGGATATAAGAGACTTCTTTCAAAGTCAAAACGTAAGTTGGAACATGTGACAGACCTGCATTAAGCTCAGACTCACCTCCTCCTTCACAAACATACTCAAAACTAACTTTTACAAACTCATCTCCTCCACATAACTGACTCCTCAGACACAATTTATTCGTATTACTATAATTATTATTTTTTTTATTATTACTATTATCATCATAATTATTATTACTAGTAGTAGTAGTAGTGTAACTTCAAAACTTTTATCATTTAACTTTATTGTAAACCTATCTATTGCAATGTATATTTTCACATTAAAAAGCTCTGAAAAATGAACAGTATCATCATCGTCAACAGATTTTTTAAGCTTAATGTCAAAGATGTACACTTTTCATTAGATTTATCTTATTTTTTCCATTTATTTTTTGTGTGTTGAAATGCAACAACTGTTTAAACACTTTTAAGGGAAAAACATATTTAATATGTTTTTATACACTCAAATGTTAGGGTGATGATCATGTGTAAAACATTAGTTCAGCATGTCCTCTAACACAGCAAATGAACAAACGGCCAGATCTCAGGAGGGACCGTTTATGTATAAATAATTTTTATACTTTTGACTAGGCCTGGGAAAGTAACACATTTTGCTGGACGATATATTGTCCAACTAATTGTTGATGATAAACGATATCATTGCCAACATTATCTAGACCAAAATAACCACTAATATAATGTTAATATATCATAATAATGCAAGTACACCCTTTAAAATGCAACAAATAAACCTTCATTTAACATTGAAATGTCCAGAACCAGAACTTCTAAATGAATAAAAATAACAAACAAAAATTAAATAAAAAAGGAATCTCACTCCCTGTTAGAAAATGTTGCACCAAAAACAATAAAAAAAGACCCAAAACAATAAATACAATGGCCTATCCATTGTCAACAGCCAAAACTGCACTTCAATAATGATAATAAATAATAATAATAATAGAGTTGTAGATTTTTTAACTTTGATACATATATATATATATATATATATATATATATATATATATATATATATATATATATATATATATATATATATATAGAGGATGGAAAAATTATTGAGATGGGCACGTGACGTGTCAAGGGGTCTTTACATAACACCCCCCACCCCAAATCCGCACAAGCCTGCTGTGTCCCCCCCACTTCTGAAATCAAAATTTCGTCCCTGAGAACGCAGAGGGATGGTTACATCCTCAGGGAAGCCCAATACACACTCTGAACTTCTTCTCAGACTCCTTAAAGCTGTCCTGTTGCCTTCTGCTCTTGCCATCTGTAAATGCCAAGCACACACTTCAGGAACAGATTTGGTTTTCTGTGGGAACAGATTAGCCGTGAGGTGGCTAATCTGTTAAAAATACAACTTTGACTTAAGATGGTCTCTATTTCACACGTGGTAGGCTGTTCCTTTCTGGAATGCAAACTTTAGCTCAGCTCAGCTCATGAAGGTTCTCAGCCCCAATTGAAGCTAATGTCACCATATTCTGTTTTATCATTTTGTTTTATTTTATTGGGTTATTTTCTTTGGTGATAGAGATCTGCACAACGCAGTACATGCATGGTTTATACCAACAAACCTAAAGTCGTCAATAGCATTTTTTTACTGTGTGGGCATCGGAACGAGCCCCTGCGCCGAGAACAAACATCTCAGCTCTGAAGCTGATCTTCATCTGCATACGTCACACGTCACGTGATCAGGAAGCAGAAAATCCATGTGTTAGGAGATCGTTTTGGGTCGTTCCTGTAAAAATAAGTGAGGAGCGAACCGGAAAAGCTGATCACAATTCGACAACGGATTATGAAAGAACGGATAACACTCGAAACACGCGGACTCTTCCTGATGTAAGAGGTGAGTCTTCTCTTTGTTTTGGTTGTTTTGACGTCAACATCATCCTAGCGTGCAACGTTCTGCGACTCTTAAAAAACAGTAAAAATGGCGGGAAACGCTGGCAGCGAATGGCTTTACCGATCAGGAAATGGCTGGCAGCGAATGAGTTAAGACTAGAAAATGTAAGTTAACAGGCAGGCATTCAACCACAGGTAAGTCTAATGATTTGTTTAAGAGGTGTCCAGCAGACAGGGGACTATAAAGGGCATTACTTAACAAAGAAAAGCCCTTCCCATTTCATGCTGTCAGCAATGGCTGCACATGGAAGAGAAGTGTCACAAAATCTAAAAAATGAAATTATTTCTTTACACTAAAAGGTGTGGGCTACAAGAAGATCAGCAAAGCTTTACATATCAGTCAGAATACTGTAGCAAAAGAGATCCAATCATTTAAGAAAGATGAAAGCGCAACCATTTTACAGAGACATCCAGGCTGTCCACAGAAGTAAACATCTGGACAGGTGTGACTTCTGATGAGAAGGGTTTAAGAAAATCACCATGAAAGTTCAGTGCAGTTAGCTAAAGCAGTAGAAAGCCAAACTAAAGTGACCATTTTTGTGACACCATACGGCGCACACTGCAGAGGAATGGCATGTGTGGGGGCCAATCAGTGCTTCTGTACATAAGAAGAGGAAATTACCTGCTGGTGTGTATGCGTTTGGCCGGAAAGGATAATTGGTTTAGACCGCTTTGTTTGACTTTTATTGTGCCTTTGTTATGTGCTGTCAAAGTATGCCGTTTATTCAACATTTTGATGGGAAGAAATGAATGGAGAAATAAAACGGACATACATCTCTTAAAAGCAATGTACAGCGACTGGACAGTGTTTATTCCATCAAAAGCAATTTAGTGCGTCAGCCATTATTCTGGTCACAAACACACCAGTGGCTTAAAGCATTGGCTTAGCCTCTACAGCATGCATGCGTATCGTCCACGAAGGAAGCCTCTCCTAAAGCTCATGCACAAAAAAGCACTCCTAGAATTTGCTAGGGCCCATGCTGACAGAGATGAAGTCTACTGGGACTCTAGACTCTGGAGTGATGAGACAAAAAACACTGCTTTTGGAACTAATGGTTTCAAACCTGTATGGGGTAGTAAAGGTGAGGATTGGATTTCAAAGAGAAATGCATGGTGCCTATAGTGAAGCATGGTGGTGGCGGTGTCATTATGTGGGCTGCATGAGTGCTGCTGGTGTTGGGGAGCTGCATTTCATTGATGGCATCATGAACTCAACAATGTAATGCTCTATACTGAAGGAGAAGATGCACTTGGTCGTTGTGCACTTTTCCAACACGACAATGATCCAAAACACACATCTTAAGCTACTGTTGCATTTCTGAAGAAGAACAGGGTGAAGGTGATTGAACGACCAAGTATGTCTCCTGATCTGAACCCGATCCAACACCTGTGGGGAATACTGAAGCAGCAAGTTGAGCATCACTCTCCATCCAGCATCCAGGCTCTAAAAGAGGTTCTTCTTGAAGAATGGAAAAAGATAGATGTTGCAATATGTCGCCATCTTGTTCATTCCATGTCTAGAAGACGGTGCTGTCCTTGAAAATCACGGTGGTCACACAAAATACTAGATGTAGTAGTTTTTGCTGCCGGGTGGATTCATTTCTTCTTAAACCAATTTTAGTTAAACTGAAGACTTTGTGATCTAAGTTATATTATTAATCCTATTTTCATGTTATGGAGTTAAACAAGAGTTCAATAAAACCCATCCTTGTGAAAGTTCTGGAAATTGTTTTTTTGTTCATTGAGCTACTTAATACACTCATACTTTTTAAAGGGAGTGTACTCATTTATGCTGAGCACTGTATGTGCAAAAGAATTTTAGTATGTAAACAGTTAAAAAGTTTTGCATACTGCTGAACACAGAAATCATCATAAAAACAAAAATGCTTCAAAATGTCTCACCCCTGCAAAGAGGAAGCGGGCCACTCCAGAATGACGGGTTTCCCATGATGCATTTAATAGCAACTTCTCCAATGAGCTCGTAGCCTTGGTAACAAACAAACGTGAGCGACTCGCCAGGTAGGTAAAGCTTCTTGGACAAGATCTGGTACCCGTTATCAGGGACACCAGGGTCCTCACAGGAAACCAAGTCCTCAGCTGGATGAAAGAAAGAAGGTAAAGGAAAGCTGGATCACGCACCAGGCTTTTAGTGTGTGTGTGTGTGTGTGTGTGTGTGTGTGTGTGTGTGTGTGTGTGTGTGTGTGTGTGTGTGTGTGTGTGTGTGTGTGTGTGTGTGCACGTGTGTGAGAAAGCTCAGCTGACAGATTTGACTGGTTCTGGCTGAGGTGACATGAGTCATGGATAATCTCCACCCCCTCCTCCAGGTGGTTGAGGCCTGATTGATACACTCTATTAGCATCTCATTTACATTTCAAACACTTCACACACATTAACCTGTCCCGAGAACACACACACACACACGCTTAACGCATCAGTCATGAGGTGAGATGCAGTAGGTAAGACATCACCCCCGGCATACTGAGATGCTGTGATGTTTGCCAGCAGCAGAACAAAAGAGGTAGGAAATCTCACAAACCTATGAAAGGGACTATTTTTCTGTTAACTGCAGCCTGACAAGTGTCTGAGATCAGGGCTCTTGTGTATTGTAGTATTTTCTTCCAAAATGTTTACTTAAATACCCAACTTTGTGTCAGATACTCACATACACAATGAGGGAGACGAGACGTCCACACAGGTGTGCCCGGCTCACGACCGTAGCAGGTGATGGTAGCGCCGCCCTGCATAATGAAGCCAGGGCTGCAGCTGTACTGAATGGTTGTACCAACCAGGAGTTTGGGGTCAGACAGAGACCTGGTGGAGTGCTCCACATGACCCGGATCCGAACAGTACATGACTGACAGAGAAAAAAATCCCAGAGGGAACAAGTAGTGATTTGTGAATCGTTTTTACAACATCAGCAATGTGTTTGTTTTATATCTAATCTAAAGTCTGGTGGAGTTTTTGTTTTCTAATGCTGTTTCATCCAAATTCTTGACTTAAAGGAGACTTACAATGGTTCTAAGATTGCTCAATAATTAGTTCACCAAATCCCCTGCACATTAAAATTTTAGCAGTTTTATTCTTGACATTTTTAGTACCTTCCAAAATGAGCAATTTCAGGGCTCTGTCACTTTAAGAAAATAAGCTGGAGGCAGCCACGCCCACCGATCCCCAACTCAAGCTGCTACAAGCTGAGAAACTCTAGTACCAGAGAGAGGATCAAGCTGCTGCTCAGCTAGCTCCATGCCCAGATTGTGATGTCATAAATAGGGACTTTTTAAAACAGCCTGTTTATGGCAAGTAATTACTGAAACCAAACACTGACAAAACAGGGATGGACGGGTTTTTTATTTATTTATTAATGTTTGGAGCGTTTATCGTTACAGTAGAGACCTATATATGGAACTCAAAATGTTTAAAATTCAATAAATAAATAAGACATTATGAAATAAATATCTACATGAAGAATACCAGACAATCATGTAATCTGACAATGAAATGATGAAATAATGGATTGTTATGTAAAATCTAAGCTCAGTATTGTGAAATATTTTTCATTCTCCTTTTAAAACGTCTTTATTAATATAACGTTTTTTTTCAAAAGTCATTTTTTCATAATAATCCAAATTAATATTGAGCCATTTTTATTTAATTCATTCAGTTTTATTACAGAACATCTTTTTAACAAAGACAGCTTTTATTTCACAATAGTGTTTTTTCCCCATGGCTGATTTATTTCATAATGAGACTTTACAACAGAATGTCTCAGTCCATCAGTCAAGCCAGTGGGTGTGATCTGCAACATCATTGGTTTATCCTTCAACATCGTTTGGTTTTCCTGGATTTCTCTGTAATAGAGCAAGGCTATCCCAGCATGCTTTGCGCGCCAGCTGTGGACTTTCAACAGGAAGAGAAAATGGGGAGATCTATGATGTTTTAAACGTAAGTTTGTTTAAAAACTAGCGGCAGAAAACTAAAAAGCTTAAAGCGGTTCCGTTTACAGACATTTTTCATTTGTATATTTGTTTTTTAAATTACATTTTGGACAGAAATCAGCCAGAACGAGTTTGTATTGCAGGTCCTGCAGTTATTCCAGTGTGTGTGTGTGTGTGTGTGTGTGTGTGTGTGTGTGTGTGTGTGTGTGTGCGCGCAGGGGTGCAGATAGGATTTTCAAACTGGAGGGACAAAGTTCCAATGTACCCTCCCCCAAACACACACACACACACACACACACACACACACACACACACACACACACACACACACTATTGCAAGAGCCTTAACTAGAGCTCAGTCAGTTTGTGTAATTTCATCCGATGGTTTACGTAAAAACTAACTTTTATATACGTGTTTGAAGCCATTATGCAGTGGAACGCTGGCAGCAAAGCTCTGCTTGATCAGCACTATAAATGATAAATGATCCGCACTTGTACAGTGCCTCTCAGAGTAAGGACTCCAAAGCACTTTACACTACAGTGTATCATTCATCCATTCACAGACATTCACACACTGATGGTGATGAACTACGACGTAGCCACAGCTGCCCTGGGGCGCACTGACAGAGGCGCCCCACTATTTAATTCAGTCATTTGTTATTCTTCCAATCAATTACTAACCAAAACCTCATGCTTTATGGAGAACATTAAATGATTTTCAGCATACCAATCTTTACAGAAAACATAAAAGCCCTAAAAAACTGCACATGAATATATTTAAATAACAATATTCACTTATCACTTAGAGCACCCGTACTCATAAGCATCCTGCCCACGGATTTCGGGCACACGAGCATTGTGTCCATACTTTGTGAGTGATTGCTTTTGTCTGACTGAATTAGCAGCCAATGACACACTGGCTCCACCCCGTTAGTCTTGACTGACGAACTGAGACATTCTGCTGTAACGTGTCATAATGAAATAAATCAGCCATGGGAAAAAAACTCTATTATGAAATAAAAGCTATCTTTGTTAAAAAAAGACATTATGTAATAAAAACAGAATGAATTAAATAAAAATGGCTCAATATTAATTTGGATTATTATGAAAAAACAACTTTTGAAGAAAACAATATATTAATAAAGACGTTTTAAAAGAAGAATGAAAAATATTTCATAATATTGAGCTTAGATTTTACATAACATTCTGTTATTTCATCATTTCATTGTCAGATTACATGATTGTCTAGTATTTCTTCATGTGGATATTTATTTCACAATGTCTTATTTATTTATTGAATTTTGAATACTTTTGAGTTCCATACCTACATGGCAGCACAGGACTCAAATGGTGAGTTATGCATTATATGTCTCATTTAAGATATCCTAACACTAAACTTCCCTATTTGAGATGCCGCAAAAAGTATTTTCTTTTCTTTTTCACAAATTAAAGATTAATCCTGGATGAAGAATATAATCTACCTAAGAATCGATTTAACCCCTCATGAGCAGAATTACTGAGGCACAGATGAATACAAACAGATGTAAAGGAGAGAGGCACTGACTCTTTTCGCAGAAGGGCGGCTGAGAGCTCCAAGAGAGGTCCAGCTGACAGGTGAGAGTCTCTCGTCCAACCAGGTCATAACCAGGATCACACTGGTAGGTGATCCGTGCTCCTCGCACCAGCGCCACGTGTGACGTTGTCTTCCATCCATTCTGAATCTCAGGTAAGTCCGGGCAGGAGTCATTACGGGACACCTCTGGGAAAAAGAATCACAGATAAAGGGTTGATTAATGGCACCATTAAAACAGTGTCAGATGTCGACGTCCAGGTGTGTCTCCAATGAAACGTTCCTTGTCTCAGTCATGGGTAACGAGGGTTGGGAAGCCAGCGTAATCAGCAGCACAGCTGATTTTTGCACGATATTTTCCAAGACAGATGTATGGTATGGTTCAGTCACTTTATGAAAAGATGATGGATTTCATCTAAGCCCAAACATCTTTAAATATCACCTCTCGGCTAGATTTGCTCTGATAAGGACAGCCAGCGACTGACACTGATATTAGGAGAAATTGCTCCATTTCTCTTCATATTCCCAGGGAGAAAAACATTTTACAAGCTGTCATTTACCTGCGACAGTCATGGAGATCTGCCAGAAAAAATGATTCCTCTGTGTTATCTGCTCTCAAAAGTAAAATCTTAGCATCTGTTCAGGGTAAGAAAACCACCTTCAAAAGGAATCAAACCTGATTGCTTTAATGCTACATCGTAACCAGACCAGTACAAGGAAACTGCAATAAAGACATAAAGAAAACTCCAATTAATAGAACACCTCCCATTTGTGAATAATGTTTGCAGTTTGTCACCAACAGCCATTCCCTAATGGGAAGTCACTATGAAAATGCAAATGCAGTAGGAAGATTCTAGAAATTAGCTCAACCAATGAACGCACGCCCATAAATGAACCATCACAAATGTCTTTGGTCACTTGAGACTTTTATACTCTGAAGCAGAAATAAAAAAAAGAAGCTTAAACAGCACCACTGCAAAACCATTAAAAAGGCTACACCTCCAAATAAAAACTACAAAAATGTGCTTTATTCGTGCTGAACCAGTGAATTAACTATGTTTAATATGTTTAGCATTCATTCATGTTCCGTCTCATTAGTAGATTTAGTCAACGCTTAGATCATGATTACCCAATTATGAACTCATCATTTCTTAAAAATAGGTTGCTAAAAATAAAGACTTTCAAAAATGCTAATGACAGTATGAGGTCTGTTATATTGGTGGGAGTGAAGTTTTTTTAATGTCTTAAATAAGGAGCCTAAGTCACGCCATGGGTCCCCAGAATTAAGAAATAAACGAATGAAAGTCATTGGGGCTAAAAATGCAGTTTTGTTTGTTGCCATGGATTTCACATATGATGTGTGTGAATTTTAAAGACACATTCTGATGCCAACAAAGCGCTTATTTTCGAATGGGGACAACAGCAAGGGCGCAGATAGGATGTTCAAACTGGGGGACAAAGTTCCAATGTACCCTCCCCCAAACACATACACACATATGTACATGGACATAATTTTCACTTTAGAAGTGAGGGGGTGGGGGTGGGGTATCTTTACAGTATGTTCTAATGGGAAACAGGCTTCAACACAAAGGATTGTTTTCTGCTTGGTCCTAGAGCTCAACCAGTGTCAATTTAATACAGCGTAATATTGTTCTTGGATGGTAAAAAGTGCAGGGGTCAAAACTTGACTTTGGAAAAAATGTGTGTGTGTCCATGCATATGTAACGCATCGGCATCTGCCCCTTTTCTACGGCATTTCTTTCACATTGTCGCTACGTCTGTCACGTTTGCAGTGTTTTTACCATAATTTCTACATCCATCACGTCCCAAAGAAGGTTAAACAAACATCAAACCCAACGTTTGGAGCTTGTGAGCTCCATGCACCTCCCATGTATCACCAGCTGTCTGATGATGGGCGCTGCCACAGCGTCAATCTTTCTGACTGGATGAGTCAATTTCTTCATCAGAGTCAATATTCTGCTTCATAATTGGAGCAAGTCATTACCAGCCAAAGTGATCAGTCAACAACGACCAGACCTGCCGGCAATTATAAGTTTCATCCCGATAACATTTGCCCTCTTCATGTTGCGCGCAGTTCCTCCTCTCCCCAACTGGGAGCCTCTCGGCAGGAGGTGTTTTTCAAACTCAAAACTCCCAAGCTTTGCTCAGCCTGCAGGTTACACATCTCCACTATCTTCTGGTGTAAAGTAGTAACTTCATGAGGGATCATATTTGTAGATGTGACCTGTTAAAGTCAGCAATGATGCTTGTCGCAATATTGCGACTTTGGCGTTTAGAACGAGTAAGTGTCAACACTGACAACAATGTACTGAAACTATAACCAACATGTATAAACAGACAGATCGGTCCAGCCTACTTACACTGTTGTTCTGTTTTAAAAACGCAGTAATTGTTGCTTCATCCTGCGTCTTAGCAGCAACCACTTTGGCGCCTCTGGAGTCTGTGTTTGCTCACGTCATGCTGCATTCAATGTAATCGGGAAAAGGAGCTTCAAGCTCTTAACCTCCGATTTTGTTTTCTTTCCTGCCTTATAAGTGGAGAGGAAGGATCTGAGTCAATTTGAATCTGGGGGGACAGATTCCTCTCGTCCCCCAACCTATCTGCGCACCTGGGCAAAAGTTATTTTCGGTTTTATGTGAAAAGATGTGATCGTATGCAAATGTTCATCTTGTGGAGGAAGGTAGGGACAACATAGGTAGTTGTTACGTATCCAAGTCGTTCATTTGCACCTACATATTGACCACACAAGATAGCCTTTCAGGTACAGACAGGGCAACACTGTCTGTCTGGCCCCAGACTCCCAAAACAAACCTTTGCCACAATTATTGTTCCTCCAAGGAGACATAAACATTCCCACTCATGGTCTCCTGCAAAAGTCCTGCAATCTCTGAGTAAAAGCTAGACCAGCATTCCTCACTCTGAATAATTTGAACCTACTCGAAGTTCCTATGTGACTTTAGTTATAAGTTACAATAATCACATGTGGAATCAACATGACGTTTAACTCAAATGTTTGAATAATCTGCGCTCAAACCAATGTTGGCTTTAAAATGAATATTGTTCTTACAATGATCCATTTCAGATCTTATCTATACGAGATCAGTATGTGTTTGATTTAACAAGTTAATCAGTATCTACACTCATACACATTACAATAAGATACGTATTAATGTTAATATTTGCTTCACATAAGTGTTTTAAAACATTCTGAGGAATGTTTGGCAAAACCCTCAAGACATTTCAAATTCTGATTAGCCAAAAATTATAAACAATGAGTTTATTAAAACCAGAATTACTTCCCAATTAGACAGTTTCTAGCTGACTCCCAATTTCGCCAAATTGGAGAAGAAGCCCTTTTGAAACCATCTCCTTTGACCTCCAGTCAAAGCCTTTCTGCAACGCTGCGGCGGATATTAGACAATCAGCACTTCTAAGAGCCAAACAAACAACCTTGGATGCAAACGAGCATTCCAGCTTACTGTTGTGACCTGGAGATATCTCCAGACTAGGCGGATCATATCGGAGCTATTCTACGGGCTCCGGGTACCTTGAGGTTGATGTTCAACCCAACTTTTGACAGTGTGGATCTGCTGGGGTCTCTACACAAAGAGTATTGTAGACTCAACAGATTGTGTCAGATGACTTTATAAACAATCCTTAGCTCATCCAACAAACATCTAAATTATTTTACAACCCAGACCCCACAAACTCTCTCAGATATAAAGAATGGTTTTGCTACAACATCTAGCTTCCATTACAACATTTCACAATTCACATTAAATCACTCCATATCCATTACAATACATCTCATTATTCATATCTTGTCATGTATAATCATTAGTTTAGGAAAAATAATTAAATTAATTTTAGAAACTACATACCTGACTCTGTCTGGATTAATACGAAGTGTGTTTATGGTCACTGAAGAAGCATAGAACCATAGAATCTTCTGATTAAACATTCAAAGATCAATCAGGTTGATATTTCATATTTATATATAATCATCACATCTTATTGGTCATTTTCAATAAAGTTGTAATGTTTCATTTCATTACATTGTGGTGAGTCAAACCAGTCTTTTTTAAATCACTTCGTGATAATTCATTTCTAAAGTTATTATTATTCTTTTTCTGGGTTTCCTGTTCTCTGGACTGAGACGGAACTTCTGTCTCTCTTTTCCTCTCCCTGTCTGACAGCGTAGTGCTGACTCATTACAACCTAGTCTGTATCATTCCTAAGCATCTGCTTTCAACTTCATTTAATTCTTTAATCACTCCAAGTAAATCCACGCGACGGATCACAACACACAAAAGGCATACAAAACACGTCTCCTCCCACACATATCACCTCAGTGACATGCCGCATCGCTGAAGATAGGATCGGGTTCTATTTTTGCCACGAGCCGCTTCTAGGACATGGCGATTTCTGCAGTTAATATAGGGCTAGACAGCTAATCATATAGGAAGCCTAAGTCACGCCCATCTATGTCCAGACCATGGATCGCTGGAAGAACGAAAAAATGAATGCAAGTCAATGGGGCTAAAAACGCTATTTTCTAATTCTGCTTGTTATGTGCCACATTTTGAAGCCAAGAAAGCACTTTTTTTGAACAGTTGAGAAACATTGTTTTAGGTTTTGTGTGAAAATAAGTCCAGGACTACAAATGCACGTCACCAAAGTGACGTCGTCGAACCAGACAAGGAGAAAAACGAAGGGAAAATGGCTGTAAGTCCAGCAAACTTCAAATCCTTCCTTCAGGAGGAAAGAACCACCATAATTCTGGCCATTTGGTAAGTGGCAGCTACGCTAGGGAGATTATGTGGTGATGTCATATATGCAACGTGCCGAGGTCTGATGTGTATTCATGCTAATTACGAACTGTTACAAGCCGATAAATCTCAAAGTATGTAACTGGTATGGTCGAAACACCCACGTTGCTTTTTATTTAATTTGAAGTATACCATGTGATTCAGGGCATAAGGCAAAGCGGTTTCGTAAATAGCGTTTTTAGCCCCGTTGACTTGCATTCATTTTTTCTTTCTTTCGGGGACCCATGAAAGGGAGGAGACTTAGACTCCCTATACGGTTTCTGTTTAAACCCCCTGGTAATTTTGAAGATAAAAGACTATTACAGCGATGCTATTTCATATTTATGCAGATTATGTCAA